ATATCAATCTATGTATCTCAACTAAAATACCTAAATCAAAGTCAAACTGCTTCTCAAACTCAAAATCAATTCGATATTATTATTTTTTTAAATACGAATGATAACGATAACCGCCGATTTTTTATTTGTTTCCTCCCAGGCCACCCTACAGCTGACTGCTAGTATATGTCAGACTCATACTTACTAAAAGTTTCATCTGATGCGATCATCCCCTGAGAAGGGGATGATGCTGTATAACCTTAGTCTTAGTCTTAGTAGTACGGCGGGCTGTTTCCGCAACTCGACACCCAGTGCCTATTTTGCGTGGGGATGGCATCAGTCCTGCCATCCCAGCTCCTCCAGAAAGGTCAGCAGTCCCCGGATGTTGCTGCAGGCTTCTACTAGTGTCCGCGGGCTTCCCATTAGATTAGATTAGATTAGAAGTCCTTTGTCTTGCAACGCCTCTGCACTCCAGCAGAACATGGGCGCTCGTCTCCTCCTCCTCCAAGCAGGCTGTGCACAGAGGGCTGTCAGAAATACCTATATTATAAAGGTGTTTGTTGAAGTAGCCGTGACCCGTGAGTATACCCACGATTTGTTTCAGGGCTTGTCTAGGTAGTCGGATTAACTTACGTGATAGCTGCTGGTTTACCTTAGGAACGGCTTCCCTAGCTTGCCTGCAGTCAGTGTGTTTTGCCCAATATTCATCGTGTTGTCGTTGAGAGCGCTCCCTTATCCAGGTTCGCAGCTGCCGATAGGGTATGGGTATAATTGGCTCCGGACCAATGGCCGTCCTGCTAGACCCCTCCCTGGCTAAGCAGTCCGCATCGTTACCCCTTGAGCCGCTGTGTCCTTTAATCCACTGTAGGGTCAATCTATTGTCGTTAGCAATATTAGTCAGCTTACTGTGGCATTCGTAAATTAAGCCTGATGTCATTATATTGTTGTCCAGTGCCTGTAGGACAGAAGCGCTGTCAGAGAGAATACGAATATGTTTTCCTCTTACCCCGCGACATTCTATCGCCTCAGCAGCTCTGATGATGCCCACACACTCTGCCTGGAAGACCGTGTTATAGGCACCCAAAGCTGTCGAGATATGTATATTCAGGTCTTCGGAGAAGACACCCGAGCCCGCACCACAGTTGGTTTTTGAACCGTCTGTGTAGACCCTCAACTCCTTATGCAGACAACGGTCCGGGATGTCTTCATAAAGTTGAATTTTGTATTTTTTGTCAAATACGTACGTCTAAGGAATAAGGTCGTTTACTGCTGCAAAGTACGGAAAGTGCCTGTGTATGTCAGCTAAGATGCTGGTGTGCGGGGAGTTGTTGTCCCTCCATAGCCCTAGCATGCTTAGTCGTGTGGCTGTACAAGCAGCTTCCTGTTGTATAAATAAATGGAGTGGTCTCACATTAAGTGTAGTCTCCAGTGCTGATGTGGGAGAGGTTTTCATGCAGCCGGTGATTGCACAGCAGGCCCGCCTCTGGAGACGTCTTAACTTATTAGTAGTCGTTACCTGGATTGTCTTGGTCCACCATACTACTGCTGCATAGCTGATGATGGGCCTAATTATTGTCGTGTACAGCCACCTAACAATGAACGGTGATAGTCCCCACGTTTTGCTAATCATTTTCCGACATTGCCAGAAGATGATGTTGGTCTTCGTAGTAGTTTTGTCTATGTGTGATCCCCAGTTCAGTTTAGAGTCTAGGGTTACTCCTAGATACTTTACCTCATTGGAGAGAGTTAGTGTCGTGTTATAGAGTTTCGGTAGCCGATAGTGACCTAAGGATCTTTTGTTCGTGAACATTACCAGTTCTGTCTTCACCGGATTCACCTTGAGGCCATAGTCGTCACACCATTTTTCAACCACCTTCATTGCTCCCCTTGTGACATCACAGGCGGTGCTCGCAGACTTACCCGGGACCATGATTGCCAGGTCGTCCGCGTAGCCCACCGTGTGGAAGTGAAGGTTGTTTAGTTTGATGATTAAGTCATTTACGACTACATTCCATAGCAGAGGCGATAGTACTCCTCCTTGAGGACACCCTTTAGTCGCCAATGCTCTGAGATGGTTGTCGTCCTGTAGTCTGATTAGTCTGTTACGGAGCATGCTGTATAACCGCCGATCTTTTCAAGCGCTTATACTTTTTATTAACATTAGCGTGACTCAGTAGCTACTGCCGTTGGTGCCTACTCACGGTAGTGTTGTGGAACTAATTTTACATAGTTTTTTTTTATGCAATGCAAGGTTTTACGCAACAATAACTTCATCTATGTCACTATTAATGTTTTTTTCTAAGGATGTTTTAATAGGTAAGACATTTTCTTTAACCAACGTTGAACGACAATACTATTCAACTAACAAATCTATCTTAACCGTTAGTTTTCCTTAAAAGTTTAAGAAAAGCACTATCTATTATCATAAATTTTTCCAGGTTTTTCAAGTCAATAGTTTAGCTTTTAGAGGGTTGGGGGGGGGACGCCCTACTCGGACAAAAATTAGCACTTTAAATTTCAATATTTCGCAAATGGATCCCTAAATCTAAAAACAGTCTTAAGAACCCCTAAGTAATTTTAAAGTTAGTGCATCCGCCAGGACAGCGTAACACGCAGATTTGAGTTCTGCCTTGAATCTTGACAGAGTTGATTTTTTTAATAATAAATAAATATAAATTAGGCGTCACGTTGTTTGTCCGGGATGGATTCCTGAACTACTTAACCATTTTAATCAAATTTGCACACCATGTGTGCAGGTCGCTCCAACATGAAAAATAGGTTAGCTTACTAATTACAATAAATTATTTGAAAACAATATTTTATTTCAATTTGATTGATGAAGCAAGACATTTAATTTTATTACAGAATACCAACACACCAAAATATTTTTTTAAGAACAAGCTGACTACAATTAAAAGCTTATCAGAGATACGCGACTCAGTGTAATTAATTTTTGTTTTAGAAAGATTGTGTTTTTATCTGATAGTTGGCACAAAAGGCACGCCTCAGATATTTTGTTCGATAAATCCAAATTTTAGCCCAAGAGCTACTGAACCCTCCAAGTAACGGTCTATCTGTAAGGCTATAAATTCTTATGGTGATGAGCCATAGCATGCTTAGTACGGTAAGCATCGTCTGGCACTCCTCAGCCCTGCACGTCATCAAGCCGTATACTTTTGAGTGTCAAAAAAAGTTAAAAAAAAAATGTTGCTGTAATTTGTTTCTTAGGTTTTCACGCACATCACTCATTAAATAAAACTAGTTTTTACGGGTTAATGCACGAAACTTTATTTATTTATTATTCTTATTATTCTGACGATGCAGACCTGAAAAGGCTGCGAAACGTCAATAAATAAATAAAGTTTCGTGCATTAACCCGTAAAAACTAGTTTTATTTAATGTTGCTGTAAGCTTGAAATTTTTATACAATGTAGTTTATTCATTTCTTAGTTTAAAAAATTTTTTCAGACGTTTACGATGAGCACAAGTACCTGCCAGACAAACTGACGAACCGGAAGGTGTGTAATATTACATAAAAATAAACTTTATTCTGTAAAGTTGAAATTTATATATGCGTTTGTTTAAGCGATTTAAAGTAAGTAGGTAGAATGCCAGCTAACAGCGCGGTTCTAGCTAACACAAGTTCTTGCCAGACGAGGAGAAAGATGCTGCGGCAGTGCGAGTAAGAGTCGTAGTATGAAAACTTATGGTATATTATTCATGCAAATTAAAAATATACGGCTTGATGACGTGCAGGGCTGAGGAGTGCCAGACGATGCTTACCGTACTAAGCATGCTATGGCTCATCACCATAGGAATTTCTAGCCTTACAGATAGACCGTTACTCGCAGGGTTCAGTAGCTCTCCTACTATTTTGGTGCAAAACTGCAAAGTTGTGCTATTATTGGCTGAATTGTCAGGCCGTTTTTTCCGTGACTGGACGCTTTAAAGCTTCTTCACCAATGCTTTACAAATTCTAAAGATCTAAAACAGTTAGCTTATTGCCAATATTAAAACATCCAATGTTGTTTTAACATTGTTGTACAAACAAATGTTTTATCGTTCGCTCCAATAGACCCCCATTTTTGCGCGGTTTAAGGCCACAAGGACGTATGAGGACTCAAAAGACGCGGAATTTAAAGGGCTTTAAGAAGATATATTATTTTGGAAAAGTCAAAAACTTTTTTGGCAATCGAAAACCACCGACTTTTTTTGACTGACAAATTGTCAGTTTTCACAGAAAATTTTCGATATCTCGAGAACGGGGCCGAATTCCAAAAATAGAAATATTGATTTTAGGTTAGAAGATGAACTCATTAAACCATAAAATTCTTTTTCAAGTATATAGACAGTTTATTAGATGGTTCCAAAGTATTCATAAATTTCAAATCTACATTTCCTCAGAATCTTACCTCTTGTATTACGTAAAAACGAATGTCTGCCAATTTTTGCCGATAATCACTGGTGTCATTCTACTACCTAAATCTTAATTATGTACCCATTTTAATTTATATCAAGCTCAAACTTCATCACCCTAAGGTTAACTCACTAAATACTTAACTGTACCTTTTATATGTTTCAATCTAAAAGCAAATATGGTCTGATACAATAAAGAATTATATTTACTGTAAACACATTTTATTGAAAAAAAATATTCAATTTTATCAATAACATTGTTGAATTATTCATTCCTACAAGTTCCACATTTAATATTAACTTGTTCAAGTGTTAGAGATTCCCTGTATGTACTTGCATATACTTGTATCCAATAATTTCTCAAAAAAGGGGGTAACTTCATGGAAACAATTATAATTACAACTCATAATTACTACTACTTATACACAAGTAATTTGTACATAATATCACAACAACAAGGAATTGACCAATAAACTCAAAACCAACATCAGGACAAATAAGAAGATAAGTAGAGAATAAGAGGAGTATTATAGCTTTACTATAATATAGAAACAATATCTACACAATAATCTAACAATAAAAATTGCACAAAAGTATATGCAAGAACAATGTTTGATTATTGTTCATGGTAAGCACAGAGTAATGTTACTGAGATGTTTTGTTCTGAATTATATTTGCTATTGTTGGGCTCAGACATCTTAACTTACATTACTGAAAAACTTAATATTCTTAACCTTTCATGTCTTTTTGACTGGAGACTTAATGAACAAGTAAGTACTAGCGGACACAAATACAAATTCAAAATACAATGTTTCCACAAAGTTGTTTCATCTGAACTCATAAATTTGAATGCTGTGTTCAGGGACATGGCTTAGAGTCAATGATTGATACCTGGAAACAAAAAGAATCTGTTAAGTCACATTGTATAATTAGTAGGTACATTACATTAAATTATTACTAGCATAACTGAGCTAAATTTATACCAGAATCACTAGCTTTACTGAAATATCCAACTGAAAGAAATTGCTAATAATTCTGCATCATTTGCATTTCTCAATCAATGTAGTTAATGGATCAGAACACCTTTCACTTACCACTCAGAGCTTCTGTGGTAATAATAACCTTCTATAGTTGCAGCCGATTTGTGGAAGCATATATAGTAGAAACCCGCAAATGAAGCACCATTTATATCCTTGATTGTATGATCGGGAACTAGGAAGTGTTCTTTCCATCTCATAAATACATAGTCAGCCTTAGCAAGAGACTCATAATCAAATGAATCAGAGTTGAATGTTTTCAGATAGGGCACAAATAAATCAAATTTACTCTGAAAACAATGAAAGACACCTTTCAACATTATGTTTAAATAGTTTTACTCTAACAATAACACCTATTTATAGAATACAGACAAACATGCTTATATTATTGAGACTACTTTGAACAAAAATATTATTTTCTCTGTATTTGAAGCATTAAACTAATTTATTTGTAAAGAAGAAATTTTACTAGAAAAAAAAATACTAGCATAGCAGTTTGTGGATTCACTCAGAAGGCACTGGTTCGAATACAGCTTTACAAATAAGCGAGTGGATTTTGTCTAGTAAAATTTTCTACCATAATAAAAAATATTGTTGATTATTTTAAGTGTATTAAATTATCAAATATAAATCATTAAAAAAAACCCATACCCAATGCTTCCTATCGACATCTTCGTCAGCATCCCATTTACGTGTAAGAAAAGGGTATTTAGCTGATATAATCTCTCCATCAAAAAAGGTTGTGAGAGTAGGGAATTCTTCTGTTAATCCTTTTATTTTTAGGTATCCACAAAGATACGAATTCTCTTCATCGACGTGCTGTAACAAAAATTTAAAACTTATTATCTATACATTTGCAGTCGGTAAAATAAGTTTCCAATTTTTTCAGTTTTTTTTTTATTTCTGTTTATGTAATAATAATATCAATAAAGCATAGCTACTTAACATAAAAACTAAATATCAATAGTGAATTATGTTAAAGAAAGCGAAGCAAAATTGCGTACTTTGTTTTCGTTACTAACCTGCAAAACCACTTCGACCTCATAAGAATTCCCCTTGCTTTTTTGATGTCCTTGAAATTTAGAACCGTTGTACAATAAGGATTTCGTTACACCAGGCTGCTTTGAATTTGCTGGTGGTGGTGGTGTTATATCAACTTTAACTGGCATATTTTTCCATGAAAACGGTGTCCCAGTTTTTAGTTTGAGTGACAGTTAAAGAAAAAGTCACCTGGCAAATGCAACCGTTTTGACATATCCTCTTCCAGCAAATTCTATACTTATTAATTTTACATCAGTATTTGGATTGGTTGTGTTTTACCTCAAATATGTTAATTAGAATGCTTGTTCTCCAAGAAAAATATACATAGTTTCTATTACAAATTTAATTAAATGATAAAAAAAATATATACGTAAATCTTTATACTAATCTGTGGTAAAATAGTTAGTAACCACAGAATGTGCGCGCTCAATCATGCTGTAAGCTTTCTTGCATTCTGTACGCCATAGGCTTGAAGTAATTTAGATTAAAAATGTCAAAAATACAAGAAATTTAATACGAAAATTAAGCTTCTGTCCCCTATGGGTACGGCCAGAGTGCACTCAGATTCAGACTCAGAAAACAAGCGCGAGAAATAAATAGTGTAGTTAAAGCAGGGTGGCCATAGTGGCAGCAGGCAACCTGCTTAGACTACACTGTTTATTTCTCGCGCTGGTTTTCTGAGTCTGAATCTGAATCTGAGTGCACTCTGGCCGTACCCTATTCCAAGCCTTTAAAATTGAGATGGCAGCCCTGTCTTAACATATGAACACGCACGAAGGCGCCCCCTAGCGGTTGCATTCATCAACAGTAGTCCTCTACTATCTGTGGCACTCCCCCCACCATACGTAATTTCCAGCAGCCGTGCGCTGCGCTATTGGTCTGAGAATCGGACAACATCTATTTTTCATCCCCCTAAATGTTAAGGGTAATCCACCCCTAAATTTTTTTTTTCAATTTTAGATAATTTTTTTTTATATATTTTTATGATACATCATACACAAATACATACAACCCTAAATTTTCACCCTTCTACCACCAACCCCTATTTTTTTATGGCGGTACGAAGTTCGCTGAGACAGCTAGTAATATATATAAAAATCAACAGGATAAGCGTTCCCAAAGATGTAATGATTGACTACCCGTCATTTCAAGCGGGTCAATTAGCACGTTATCGTTGAAGAAAGTGGGGAGCACCGAATAATGTCCGAAAAGTTGTACCCGTTTCTAAAAAAAAAAAAGACTCGGTTAGAGCATCCGCATTGAATATCGACTCTGTTTCACATGAGCAAAAAATTTTCTACAATGTGTCAAGACTGATTCTGCCACATACCGACAGTCAGATTAGAGATTACTACTGTAACAATGCCGGCAACGCGTAATATTATTATAAATTGGTTAAAATCCGTTCTCAGTGATCCTAGGATAGAAAGTACCCCCGGCAATGTTAGGTCAGCTGTAGCTTCGGCAAATTGGCTGGACAATCATAACATAGATGATATTTTGTCTCGTGGTAATTGGTAATGTGCGACGACATTACACAAATATTTATTATGAAAAAAAAGGTAAATTTAAAAAATCAAAAAACCCGACTGCTTAATTATACTTCAAATAAAAACTGAAAAGAAAAAAACAAGTCCAGTAGTCTATAATTCTGTTAATAAGGAACAAAGCTACTTTAACAGTCGGGACCCATTAGATATTCAAGAATACATAATATTTTTCAACAGTGGGTCCCGACTGTTAAAGTAACTTTGTTCCTTATTAACAGAATTATAGACTACTGGACTTGTTTTTTTCTTTTCAGTTTTTATTTGAAGTATAATTAAGCAGTCGGGTTTTTTGATTTTTTAAATTTACCTTTTTTATTTCACACTTTTTAGTTAGTTAGTATTTTAAGACGGTATATATACCGTAGTCTTGTTACTTCAGTATGGGAATTAATATCGCGGGAATTATTAAGTGTAAAAGATTGATTTATTAAGACATATAAAGACTTTACCAGCGGGGTCAAGGCTACAGATGGGCCTCAATTTTCGCAAAAATGTGTGAAGTTAAATCAAGTCGTTACATAAATATCTCTTATGTATGTAAATTTTATAGTAAACTAGCACTTACTCAAAAAGTCATCTTTTGTTTATGTTTTTTTTTAATAGTTTAGCAGTAAATATAAAATTCATTTACTTTTATTCGTCGACTATTTAAAATTGGCAGTGGCTGCATTGTCATGTCAATGCCGGACGTCTAAGATTGTGATATACACAAATTCAGTGTCAGTCCCTAGTCTTATAATTTGATAAACCTACATAATTCACAGAAACCCAATATGTAGATGCCAGAAGTTAACTTCAAATGTTTTTAATCACCCTATATACAATACTAATCAATTACTTTTACGTCGCAGGTTGAAGAAAGCAGTAATTCCCGTCTGTTGTTTTGGACAATGGTGGCAATTGCCTTAGATTACTAAATTAAATAATTATGCAATCACCAAAGCAAAGTTTATAATATTTGATTAAACTTAAGGCGCATAATAAATTTTTCATAAAGTTAGGTAGAGCACCATAGCAATCTCATTTATTAACAATTTATAGTTCTCTTTGTAGTTTTCTTTCAAAGCGTTCACATTTAACAGGTCAAAGACTTTGTGTTCGACCTTTTTTTATTGGTAGTGTAAAGCTCGAAAGAAGAGTACTCCCAGTAGTGCAATCATGGCAATTATTTTCCAATTTTTTTTTTGTTTATAAAAATACCGAATAACGTATCACTGTTAAGCACAAATGCTAAGTAACTTTTACAGATATAATCAAATAAACCTATTACTTTCTTTATTTTTAAATCGTTTTCATCAATTAAATACTTATTTTATCCTAACTATCTATACTAATATTATAAAGAAGCAAGATTTGTATGTTTGTAGCAAATAATCTGTCAAACTACTGAACCGGTTTTAAATATTAATTCATCATAAGGTCAGCTACGTTATTTATTATAACATTTTTTTTATTTAAATAAATTTTGTCCGAGTGACATAGGCTATATTTTATCCCGATAAATAAATTTCGCCCGTACAATGCCCGGGTGGATCACTAGTAAGTATAATATAATATTATAGATGCGAAAGTGAATTTGTTTGTTGCGCTTCCGTGCCCTAATAGCTAAATCGAATATAATGAATTCCCATATAGAAGTAGATAGAAACTTGGTTCTTAGCTACAACATCGCAATACTTACAGGCGTAGGGTGATTAAATTTTAAATTTACCTATAAAAATCTACTTAGAATTTTGCAGAATTATTACAAAACCAATATTATCGCGAGCTGATTAATAAATACAGGGATTCCAATAAGTATGTACTTACTAGCGAAAAATGGGTTATTTGTCATTATATTAAGTAAACCTTTTTTGTAACATTAAGTAATATCGTTAAAAAAAATGAAAAACAGTAAAATTCTGAGTTTTTCATTAAAATTCAATAATCATAAATACCTATTATGATAATATATTTTTCATCATTTAATAAGAAGGAACTGTATCACAGTTTTATTGTTAGTACTTCGTATATAGGATCAGATACTGCGAATACCCCATTTTTTTTTACATAGTACACCGCGCTATCACTTTGTCATCGTTGTAACTTTTTAAATATTTGTCGAAATGACATAGTGTAAAAAGCAAAGTTTATCGTCTTTAAATATCAAAAGCGATAAAAGTATTTGTTTGGATAAAAAATGATTTGGTAATACAAAATGTGCATTTTGGAAATAGATATCAAATAATATTTTAGTTTTGATTCACTATTTTAGCGGTAATGACTTACACATTAAAAATAGATATATGGTGTCACGGACTTTTTTTTAGAACTATTTAAGAGATACATTTTCACTCTACATTACATTCATGCAACTTTTATTGTTTTTGCAGTGCAGGCCAAAATGGCTCGCAGATGGGAGATTTTTTTCCGTCTTATGTGACACTTATTGTTATATATTGGCCAATTCACTCAATAACTACATAAATTATTATACATATGTAATTATCATATATGAGCTATATTAGTGTTAAGTTTCATTAAAATTCATTTAGTATTTTTTAGGTGAAAGAGTAACAAAGATCCATACAAACGTAAGATTGAAATTAAAAGCGTAAGTGGTTAATATACAACTTTAAAGAGTTGTAGATCCTAAACAATCATATAAAATGAAAAATGGTGTTAGGAACCTAAATATGATTTTTGATTATCTAGACAGTAATACCCCACTCGACATATTTTGTCAACTTATTTTTTTTACTTCGTCACAATATGGCGCCTAATGTTGCCCATATTGAATTTTGATTACTATCATATCTTTAGTAGCACTCCCATGATTGAGACGAATCGATTGATGTATGAATCATCAAAATCGGTCCAGGCGTTTGGTCTCTAGTGTGCCACAAAGGAACAAACATACATATATAGACTGTTAAACACATAACCCTGTCTGCGCGTCGCGCTTCGCGCTCTTGCATTGCGCAGCCGGGTAAAAAGAGGTGCTTCGTGACCGTTAATTTAGTTCTAATGATTTAACTGGTTGTTTTCAACCAATTGTAGGTTAGGACATAAGGATGAATTTGTTATTTTTGTTCATTTTATTAGTCTAGTGAACATAATTATTATTGACCATTACTCTTTACATAACATTGATTAGCTTTGTTTGGCACATAACCAGAATTTAAATATATATTTTGATTTCTATAATTTACTTATTAGATTAACTAAATACTGATTATTTTAATAGGAAGTATTTTTCACATTGGCGTTTCTTGATTTCCCCCAGCAGCCGATAACAAACACTTCTCAATTTTAAAGGAATAGGGGACAGAAGGTTAATTGGAAAATTGTACCTAAAAATAAAATAAAATTAAGCTATTTACCCTATTCCAAGCCTTATTGAAGTTATACTTCTTTAGCCGCGTTATGAAAAAATTATGAGAGTGAAATTTTAAGATGCGCGCGCATCACTGTAACACAAAAGTAACATAATGAAGCTAGCCGCGGGCGCGTTATGAAAAAATGATGAGAGTGAAATTTTAATATGCGCGCGCAACACTGTAACACCATGAAGTCGGGCGCTAAACCGCACATTACTCGTAAGTCTCGAAAAAAAGCTTCCAACAAAATAGTAATAGGATCTCTCAGTCGCACATGTTGGGACGCTCGTCGCCTCTGATCACTGTTTTCATATTTATAATATTTATTATTTAATAAAACTGTAAGAATGTGCGGGAGGGCGAAGGGGGAGTGTGAGAAGACTGACGTCAAATAAAGATAGGCGTAGGTAGGAAACAGGTGCAACAGATAGTAGAGGACTACTGTTGCCGAATGCACCCGCTAGGACCGGACACCGCGCCTTCGTGCGTGTTCATATGTTAAGACAGGGCTGCCATCTCAATTTTAAAGGCTTGGAATAGGGTAAGTAGCTTAATTTAAATTTTATTTTTAGGTAAAATTTTCCAAATAAAAACTGACATGGGCTGTTAACATGCGATAGAAGTGAAACCTACAAAAATGTGAACACGCAAAAGTCCTTCATGGCTTAAAGACAAAATATATAAAATGTGAAACAAATAAAAAAAATGAGTTAAAATATCAACTCTGTAAATCAAAATTAAATATTTTATACTTAAATTGTTTCATGAAATAAATAAGAGCTTAATAAAAGAAAAAAAAACTATTTAAAAAATAACTGATCGTACCATCGATCACTTAGTGTCGACCCCAAGACCGTTACAGTTTGGCTATCTATCTCTTGCAGAAAGTTACAAAATTACGGATGACTTTTGTCAAATAACGGTGTCGATTTTGGTTTGATTCTCTAAACTTAAAAGTAAATTTAACGCCAATCTCTACTTTTCATTCTGTATAGAGAATGACAAGGATACACTGGTAGCTTTCCAATTACAGCATTATAGCGCATTATGCGGCATAATGCTTAACGTTGAGTGTTTCAACTACAGCAACGCTTCGCACAATCGAGCACTCTCAAAAGTAATGCTTAAGTTGGCATTGATCGAAATGTTTTATTTATATGTTATCGTTAGTAATATTATTTATTGTTGAAAAATTATTAAAACTTTCGTTTCATCATAGTTTTTTTAAATATTCAAAGTTAATTGAAACTGTGTTAAAAAATTAAATATAAATATGGATGAAGGTACAAATATTGACTTTTCGTTTCAACACTGAACTTAGCGCACTCTGCTGGCGCTGTTGAAAACTAATTCACGTTCCAATTAAGCATCAGCATAATTCGGCATTGTGGGCGCACAAATTGTGCGCCACTGAGTCGCAATATGCTCTGTAATTGGAAAACCACCTAAATGTATCATAGACTAGCATACTTTTTGACCAGAACGTACTGTACTCTGTAGAACACTTTCTTGTCTACGGTCTAATGGTAGGGTTTCTTCGTTTCGTTGGTTTAGTTGAACGATGAACTTGTTAGTTTGTTTTGTATTGTGGTCTAATTTTGCTGTGATATGTTAAATTTAACATTGAATAGCAATGTTATAATATACACTGTTAAAACGTGTTGGTGTTACATACCCTACCTCAAACGTTTTGTGATGTTAAAGCAATAGTAGTGTTATTTTCCCACATAATTATGGTTAACTGACGTTAGACTGTGCATCCTCAATTATGGCAGACCCAGGTTATTATCACAGTGATTATATTCGTCACCCAGTACTACACGAACTGGGTGTCAAGTATGGCATCAAGACAGAGTGTATTCCAGAAATAGCTTTGCCGTCTAAGCTGGAGGAGCTCAAGGATGTTATACGTAGAGAGATACGTAAGGAACTCAAAATAAAGGAAGGTGCCGAAAAACTGCGAGAAGTAGCTACAGATAGGAGATCTCTTTCTGATGTTGCTAATATTGTAAAGAAAGCTAATGCTAAACTGAATGAACTCAAATCAGATCTTCAGGAACTGGAATCGCAGTTGCTCCTGTCTCGCGGACAGTCTACCCCTACCTCTCCGGAAGATCTATCCTATGATGAAGAAATCATTTTGGCATCTGAAGCAGCACAACAACAAAGGCAGCTTGGTGAAGCAACAACAGATCGCAAATTGGCAACTCTTGAAAAACAATTAAATATTGAATTAAAAGTTAAACAAGGTGCTGAAAATATGATACAGAGTATCAGCAGCAGCAATCAATCAAGAGATAAAAAATTGCTAGCAGAAGCTCATCAGATGCTTGCAGACTCAAAAAACAAAATAGAATATTTAAAACTACGTATATCTAAACTAGTAAAACAACAGAAAGGTGACATTGCTGGGGCTAATGGTGATGGCAGAAGTTCTGATATGAGTGGTGTTGATGCTATGCTAGATGAAAGAATTGCAGAACTCCGAAATCGTCTCAGAATAGAAGCAGCTGTTGTAGAAGGTTCAAAAAATGCCATAAGACTCTTGCAAAGTGATAAAAAAGTAACTGACAAAAAAGCACTCCAAGAAGCACAAACCAATCTCCTTGAGTCAACACAAAAACTTGATTTACTGCGTAGATCTTTAGATATGCGACGACAAGAATTACCTACGGAAAGTGCAGCATTTACTGAGTTAGGAAATGAATTACGCAGCACCGGCTCCAGTCCGGGATATGTAAGTCTGTCAGGTGGAAGTGGGTCAAAATCCCAATTTGCTATGCCAGCACCTATGATCAGCCCATGTGTCCAAGTAACAGGCACACTTGAAGTTAGACTTATGGGTTGTCAAGATTTATTAGAAGACGTCCCTGGCCGTAGTCGACGAGATCCATTGGCAAGTCCATCTGATTTGAAATCATTTGTCAAAGGTGTCACTATTCGGAATTCTATGAAATACACATATAGCATTAAAGAAGACACAAGCAATGAAATAATGGCAGTATTAAAGCTTGATAATCATGCCGTCTCCCAGACCAGTTGGAGGCCTTGTTCTCAACAAGCTTGGGATCAAAGGTAATTCAATATTAAATTTCTAAAGTGATCAAATATTGTACATTTTTAATAAATGGAACCTATTAAATTCAAGTATTTTGTGTGCATGATGCATTAATGTCAAAATTAGTCAATTATCATTTCAGTGCTTCCTTGAGTCATGTAATCTCAATATTCTATTCATGTAATTTCCTATTACTCACTTTATCTTATCACAGCTTGTATCTCATTTATTTGAACAAGGTGCTTACATCGTTATATTATGGTTAAGCTAATGAGAACAAAGGCTTAAAAATGAATTTTTCTACTTTAACGAAATAAAAGAATACTAATATATATTTTTCATTATCTTGTACTTTTTTTTACTTGGGCATGCTGATCTGGTTTAATATAATCATAGCCTATTACTAACTTATCCCCAAATTATTTCCCAGAGTACTAAACTAAAATTTTTAATCTTTTAAACATAGATGTAACAGTTAAAAAAAAAACATTTATTATTGAAATAGAAGCCATTCAATATTACTAATAAATAATGAGTTGATATATGACATTGTATTAATTATGTTCGTCCTTAGTTACAAATTAAATTTAAGCACTCTAATTAGTTTATTTACATAACCTTATAAAAAGGCATTAATATGTTCTTCTCTTTTATCAGATTCACCATCAAACTTGATAAATCAAGAGAATTAGAAATTGGAATCCATTGGAAGGACTGGCGTGGGTTGTGTGCTGTAAAATTTTTAAGATTAGAAGAATTTATTGATGATATTCGGCATGGTATGGCTTTAGAACTTGAACCACAAGGGCTTTTATTTGCAGAAATAAAGTTCTTAAATCCAATTATATCAAGAAAGCCGAAACTTCAGCGTCAAAGAAAAATCTTTAAACAGCAAGGGAAGAACATTCCAAGACCTTCATATGGAGAAATGCACATACCTGCTGTTGTTCTGGGTAGACTTTTAAAGCGTTCCTCACCATCCATTCAAAATATTCAAACTGCTCACATTACACAACAGGCTCAATTTGAAGCTGGGGCCTTAGACAACAGAGATTCTGAAAATCCAAATGTTACTCTTGGTGGTATGGCTGGAATTAGACCTCTGGGCTTGCCTGCTACACCCACAACACCACAAGCTCCAATTACACCTCCACCAAAACCTTCTCTTCCACTACAACCTCCTCCAAATGTTTCTACCTTGAGAATGGAAAAAGAGCTTCAAGAAGCTTTTGCATTTTTAGAAGATTCTTATACTAGGGATAATTATGTCACAAAAGAACCTACAACTCCATCATGTGATACTCCTTTAGTAGAGTATCCCCCATCACCATCACCAAAACTTGTTCTGGAATTTCCAAGTAATGAGGACCAAATTATAGAAATAACAAGAGATATGCAAATTTCTTCCTCTCGTTCTTCATCATCTGTTATTGATACATTGGGGAAAGAGCAAATTGGTAGAAAATTATCAAATGAAATGTCTATGCACAGTTTTAGATTGCTAAGTGTTTTGGGCAGAGGGCATTTTGGTAAAGTTATACTATCACAGTACAAACCAACGAATGAATATTTTGCAATAAAAGCTTTAAAAAAAGGTGATATCATAGCCAGAGATGAAGTGGATTCTTTGTTATCTGAAAAGAGAATTTTTGAAGTAGCTAATGCAATTAGACATCCATTTTTGGTTAATTTGTTTGCTTGTTTCCAAACTGACCAACATGTATGTTTTGTAATGGAATATGCTGCTGGAGGTGATTTAATGATGCATATACATGCAGACGTGTTCACTGAGCCTAGGGCAGTATTTTATGCAGCTTGTGTAGTTTTAGGGCTACAGTATTTACATGAAAATAACATTATATACAGGGACTTGAAGCTTGACAATCTGTTACTAGACACAGAAGGTTATGTAAAAATTGCAGATTTTGGTCTTTGTAAAGAAGGCATGGGATGGGGTGATCGCACCGGGACGTTTTGTGGTACTCCCGAATTTCTTGCACCAGAAGTGTTAACAGAAACCTCATACACAAGAGCTGTTGACTGGTGGGGCCTTGGTGTCCTTATATTTGAAATGCTAGTGGGTGAATCACCTTTCCCAGGTGAAGACGAAGGTGAAGTATTTGATTCCATTGTGAATGATGAAGTTCGTTACCCTAGAACTTTATCACTTGAAGCTATAGCATTGATGCGCCGATTACTAAGAAAGAATCCTGAACGACGACTGGGTTCGTCAGAAAGAGATGCGGAAGATGTGAAGAAGCAGGCATTCTTCAGAAATGTTAATTGGGAACAGCTACTACTTCGTAAAGTTAAACCACCATTTGTGCCAACAATAAATAATTTAGAAGATGTGAGCAATTTTGATAGTGAGTTTACATCTGAAGCAGCTGTGCTTACACCTCCTAAAGAACCCCGAGCACTAACTGCAACAGATCATAAGCTGTTTGAAGACTTCACATATATGGCTGATTGGTGCTAGGCCTAAAGGACATATAATTTAAAGAAATTAGGTTTAATTTCTCTATTTATAAAAACCCCAATGCCTTACAAGTATGTGAAAAATTCTGTATTTTGATTATACCAACGTTATTTCTACTCGAAATCATCATAACTAGACACTCTTGTTATCTTGTATTTAATGCAGTTAATGCAATATTTTATAATAAATCGTGTAATTAATACTGTAAGTTTTAAATAGTGCTAATGTTTATTTTTTTAAAAACATAGTATTAGAGATTTATATATAATATAGTTATGAAATGATTAACTTAGAATGTAACATTATTAAATATAACTAATAATAATTGAGTAAGTGGAAAGCGTGTCAAATCATATTACAGTTTCAGTCAATTGTTTACTTATTTAGAAAAATAAAGGTATTATAAAAAATTGTCTTTTACGTTATACAAATCGACATACCCGATCATCTTGGAGATAAATTCAATAAAACTTTAATTTGTTATCCGAAACTGTTTAACAAAAGAGCGAAAATTAAATTTTTATAAAAGAAAAGCATGCTAATTATTTTTTTATTTAAAATTAAATTATTGATTTAATTAATATCATTGCAACGCTGTCGCGCGGCGATAGGATACTTGGATGAGACGGGACGTGCCACGCGTGAATGTGTGACCTAGTGTTTTAGCGACCGTCTCCATTAAACACACGGCTAGGACTGAGGCGCCTTTGAGCTCGGCACAGAATCCGACAAAATATGGCTCGGCTCGCGGCGACGAATTTGCCTCGCGTCGCGGCGTGCCTCAGGTTGAGGCAGCGCCTCCACTTGCGCAGCCTCGGAGTGAGGCAGCCGCTCGACCCGAGGCTGCCTCTAGTGGATACGCGGCTGTATAGGATTCACTTTGTGCTATCGTTCGCGGCGAAATTGACCGGCCCGCTCCGCCCCGCCGTCTGCAAAGCGCCTTAGAGGGCGCCTAGCACCACCGTGAAATTCGCCACCATTAAATTTTGATCGCGTGCTTACTATAAGCCTCTGGTGAAGTAATAAATTAACTGCACACGGGCGCTATATTGGCTAGACTCCCCTGCATGCGTTTGGACTAGAAATAGACTGCAATAATCTGCTGCCTTATAAAAAATATATTCCTTCCCGTGATTATTTTGCGCCGGGCTACAGTAATCTACCTCCAGCTCATTTTGTAGTTTACCTATATAGGAGGAGCTCGAGGGCACAAGTAGTTAGCGCGTTCGGTCGGTTCGTTCGATCGGGGCAGTTAAACAACTTTCGCAGTGTACGGTCATCGGGTGAGTGAAAACATTAATTTACATTACTATCTCGAGATCCTCCGTGTTTCGGAAGGCACTTGAAGTCGTCGGTCCTGGCTGCATCTCTGTAGATGACTGTTCATTGGCACCCACCAATCCGCATTAGGCCCCCGTAGTGGATCATGACCGAATCTCCGTATCCCATATTTAAGGAAGACCTTTGCCCCAGCAATGGGGATATTCATAGACTGATGATGATGAATAAAAAAACTCAAATCGTCTTGCACATTTGCGATTTATGACGTAAACTTAGGAGTAACCAATTGGCGTGTTTAACTAATAATAATAGTTTAATGTTTTTTTTATTTTATGATAAAAGATATGAACCTGGGCCAAAATACTTTTGTACAAACATGATCGGAAATCGTTAGCTAGGATCGAAAGTGCAATGGCCCGGGACAACAGGCTACGAGGAGCGGCAAAAGGTTTATGTTACTGAACTATATTTTGATTTGATTTTCTAATTCTAGGGGAGGGGGAAATCGTTCATATCCAGGCCTTTTGTAAATATTCGTAGGTACTTAAAATGAAACAATTCATTAGAGAATAATTTTCTAATGTATCAGTAATACATACTGCAGAATATGAGCAAAAACTGGAATAAATGATATATGTATCATAAACAGAAACAATTTTGAGTGAAGAATAAAGGATCGGAATCATCATTTGCAGAAAAACTGAGATGGGGAGTTTTACATTTTCCATTAATCTTATATGGTAAAATGTACAACTTCCCACTTCTTCAGCTTTTTAGACAAATTTAATGTTAGACACATTGCAAAGTTTAATAAAAAAGTAAGATGTGAGAAGTCTACAGCAGTTCGTCATATTCGTAGAACAACGACGGTTTGGATAATTTGAATTTTTTATGTAAAATGAGTTTTTATTGTCGTGCTTTATTAGTTATACTTCGTTGTTTTGTTATATTTTACAATTTAAATAACTTTTTTACTTATCAATTCTATCTGAGTTTTTTATACCTACTGTTATTTTACAGGAGCGCATGCAATACTATCGTCTGAAGAAATGCAAGGCGTGTGGGGTGATGTATTTTCAAACAATGATTATCAGGAAGAATCGGTCACAGTTACAGGTCTCGACGATAAATCCCGTAGCAACTGCCGTACAGGTGCACGACATTATTTCCGAAGATGCATATATGCCCACAGACCCATTGACTCCCGTAAATATTTTTGATTTCCCGCAGTCATTACAATCCCAACATAATCAAGACTCCGATGCCATTGACGCCCATTTTCAATAATTTGCTAGATCAACCTACACCTTCTACAGCCAGTCAGAATAATATTGAAGACCCTGAGCAGCAATCTGATTTACAAGATACACCAGTCCCATCGCCAGTTAATAGACATGCAAAATGTGGTGATGTTTTTGCTGCCAACACGACCCTGATGAGCATGCCTACCTATCAGTAGATATTATGGGAACAGACTCTAATTACTCGCTCCAAAAACCACTACATTGCTGTAAAAAACGACCTCGGAACCATGAAAATTGGGGGGATGTCAAAAGAAAAAAACTGAAAAATCAAGGCAAAACTATTGCTAAAAGGGTGTACTATTGATGCAAAAACAATGGGGCCCGCCATGTCAATGTAGATTTAAATGTGCCACAAAAATTGCAGAAAAGGAGCACATTGAGATTTAAAAAAAAATGGAATTTAGGTGTAGGAGAGCAGCAATGGCTGTACGTTGCTAATTACACAACAGAAAACTATGACATTCCGGCGGGAATTAAAACACCAAGAGAATATACCTACCTATAAATATTTCTTGCCAAAGAAAAAGACTGACGCTGTCAGTTATAATAAAATCGATGTTTGCAAACTATATTTTAGGTATCAGTGAACGTTTGACAAGAACCGCATGTAGTCCAGGCAACGAATGCTCAAAAACAGGTATAGAGGGAAATGCTTGGAACACAATTTTTGACTTCGTAACTTTGTTAGGACTAGTTAAAGAGTTAAACATATCAAAAGTCCCCGACCGTAGCCCTTAAGCCGGGGGGAAGGGGGGGGATTGAAGGTCCCATTTTTAGGTTTTTCGCATATATCTCGGAAACTATGCATCCTAGCGACATGAGACTTTAACAAAAGTGAAAGCTGATTAAATTTGCTACAATTCTTATTCTGTAAAGTTTTTTGATATCTTGTATAGTTATCGAGATATCCGCTCTTGAGTCTGTAATTATGGAAAAAAAAAATTGCCACCACTTCCTGGAAATGCTATTTTACTGCTCCCTCGGTGGGAGGAAGACAAGAGATATCAGGCTTGATGGTGGCCACTGATTTCAAGAATGACTTGTACCCTGTAGGCTTTGAGGGAAATCTCTTTCGCTGGAGCTCCATACCACCTTAAGATGCAGGTTTCACCTGCCTTTTGTACTTGAGCAGTGGTGGAGAAAGGGTGTGAAAAGACCGCTGCTGCTTTCTGGATTTCTGGTGACTTGATAATGTCTCTGGTCTCTGGGAAGGGAGGAAATTTCTCAAACCAATCGGTGAGCTTGGCAATGTCAGCTCCATCCTTGTTTTGGCGGGCTTGTCCGAAATCTGCATGCTGCTCACTGGTGGAACCAACAACCTTACGGTCAGCATTGTTGAAGAGTTATCCGGTCAAATAGAGCAAAAATGTGAAGATTTTTTTTTTCCATAATTACTGACTTTTAAGAGCGGATATCTCGAAAACTATACAAGATATCAAAAAACTTGACTGAATAAGACTTGTAGCAAATTTAATCAGCTTTCACTTTTGTCAAAGTCTCATGTCGCTAGGATGCATAGTTTCCGAGATATATGCTTTTCGTTGCCTGGACTAATGGATCAAATACGACGGTAGCACGACTGTAGAACAAGATATGAGAGACCGTCATACAAATCACAGAAAACTAATTAATAACGAAATGCTACTGTCTGTGTGCGCTCATGTATATTCAAAGCTACAACTCTTCGGAGTGCCGTGATATTGTAAACAGATAATTCAATCTAACTTTGCACATGCCAAAAAAAGATACTTGTGACCAATGCCATATATTTAAACAAAGTGAAAACCCATCTGAAGATCTGAAAACTGATTACGAAAAACATCAAATCAACAATTATATGGCTAGACAGCTAAAGAATAATGATAAGACAGAAGCTATGCAGACCAATGGAACGACCTTATGAATGACGTTCGATTTTCAAAAAGTATTAACTTGTCCACATGGTCAAATGAGCATACTTTACTACAAACGCCAGCTCTCTTGCTATAATTTTACCTTTATAACATGGCTACCAGAGGGCTATTGTTACGTGTGGGATGAGATCGTGGCAAAGCATGGTGCTAACGAGGTTGCTAGTTTCCTTTACGCTTTTATTAAAGATTTTTCAGGAAAAGGAGTAAAGGATTTTAGATTTTGGTCATCAATTGTAGTGGCCAAAATAAAAACCGAATTATATTTTCATTAATATACAAATGCAGCAAGGGTGTTTGGTGTCACCATAACTCACCGATTTTTAGAAAAAGGCCATACCCAAAACGAGGAAGATTCTGTGCACTCAGTTAAAGAAAGGGCAGGGGAATACAAACTTATTTATACTCCCGAAGAATGGAAGATTTTGTTTAGATGGGCAAAATCAGAGAAACCATAGGAAGTGCGAGATGTAACTCAGGATATGGTTTATGATTTTATAGAACTACTAAAGAATAAAATTGGACCAAAAATACCGTAAATGATAAAATGGCATGGGCAAAAATTAAAGAGATATATATATATATTCAGGAAAGCCACCTCAATAAAATACAGTATAGTTTGGATGATGAATTTGATAACACGTAAGGAGACAAGAAACCTAATTAAGAAACCTTATTCTTAAAAAAGCATATTTTCAACTAATCGCAATTTCTAAAGACAAATTTAAAGACTTAATGAATCTGTGCGAGACGGGAATTATATCTGCTAATTAGTACCACAAATATTTTAAAACTCTAACACATGGCCATTTTAAGAGTCACGTTTGAGACTGATAGTTATTGTGAAGAAGATTATAGAGCAATAATTGTCGTTGTTACTTTCAAATATTAATATTTTTGTTTGTTTTTAAGTAGGTACGTTTATTTTTCATTTGATGTGTACTAAATTTGTGATTAACATAACAATTGATCTCCAACTTTTAGTGCTATTAAATATTTTTTTGTTTTTAAAATCTATTTGGGAATAGTTGATAATAAATACCTGCTAAAATGTTTGGGACCGATAATGATTATAATTTTCATGATAATTGTTATAATGATTATAATTTGCATGATAATTGTTATACTGATTATTTTACCAAAGAATATTTTTGTACTTAACTTTTTGAAGTCAATTAAACAATATAATTATGTCTTTAATAAAAAATATACAAACTAAATAATATATGTTTTTTCATTTACTAACCCATCAATTTGAAATACGTTAATATTTTTTGTGAAGATTTCCTAAAAGATGAACAGGAACTACTTTGCATCATATAAGTAAGAGAAAAATCTGCAAAACAACGACGTATGATAACATACAACACACAAGTTTTCATAGAACTATGATGCTATTGATATATTATAAAATTGAGCCATTTTAGGAATTTATCTTGTTGGTCATATTAAAAAAGTTCAGAAACAGAACAACATGTCCAAAATTTCAAGCCACTTAGCAGATCAGTGGTTTCTAAAATAGGTGCCTAAACTCCATTAGAAAACTTTAATGTGGCATGCTGTATAGTTACTAATTTGCAGAACCGTCTTTGTTCTTTGACTATGACAAGTTTATGTTGAAACTATTTACAATTGAAGAAGTTGGTGGTCTGTCACTTTGAGGCAACAGAATTTGTGATTGATTTTTTTTACACAAAGCGCTTATGATTTACTAATACCACAAACTTCTTCAGATGTACAAAAATATTTACAAATTTGGGATTCCCATTCATTATATTATTAAATTATTCAGACAGTATTCATTAAAATGCCTTTCATTATTTTTGGACAAAGAACAAACAATTTATAGTAAATACCTATAGAAATCAACTCACTAATAGAATATACATAATTTTTTATTTTCTTATATATTGTATTGTCAAAATTGTGAATACATAAAAAATTTATTCATTGAATGACTGAATTTTGTAACCAAGCAACTGTATCACAGAGATAATAATGATGATGATCATCTTAGCCTCTGAATAGATTTATTTTTACTGCTGTCGATATTCTTTAAGCAGATCTTAAATGTTGTAGATGCAATCACTATATAAAGCATTATATTTATTTTATTGGCTTGTATATTCTCCAAGAAAACCTTATACAATATTTTTTCAAATAAAAAAAAACATCATGGGTTTCACTAATTATTCAGCTTCCCTTACAAATAAAAATAATTAATGTCCATTGTTCATTCAATACCCACTACATTATTTACAACTACATGAACTCCTATAGATATTTTACAAAATTGTATAAAAATAAAATTTACATTGTAAGTAAATACAGTTACTGTGCTTTTATGTGATTATGGTTACCATTTTAAGTACAGGTAGCATTAGAACAACATCAGTGAAACAAAGTACTTTGTAAAAGCTTAATTGCAAAAAAACACTATTGGTTATTTTAGAAGGAAAACAATATATATTAAATTTCTGTTAGCTAGACTTTCCAATTACGTTAGTTACCAAGATCACTAACACTGGAGTACAAAATATCTTATACTTTATAAAAATGCAATAATGATTAGTTGCAATGTTTTATTGCTAAATTATCACCAATATTTTTCATTTTGTTAGGGAAGCAGAATTATAATACTCTGCATTACTTACACATGAAAATTGAGAATGCTCCCATATTAATTACTAAATTTCAAGTAATACAAATCTAGTTATCTTTCCTAGTTTCATATCAAACTGAGTATTTGTAAATATTTAAAGGGATTAGACAAAATTTACCAGTCAATTGACTAATATGAAACAAATCTCAGAATATAATAACATAATAAAAGATTTGATTGTATACACTCTATGAATACTTATTTACACAATTCACACACATAGCTGACAGTCACAAACAATAAATTTTGATGAGCTCACATCCGTGAACCTTTTTGTTGGAGTACCTTAGCACGGTCAGTAGGCTCAACATCATTACTGTTTACAGAAGTTCCACACTCTCTGCTCACAATACAAAGGAATTCAGCATGCTCATCATTTCCATAATTGTATTGTGAACCAATATTGATTAACTGCTCAAATTTCCAACCATCAGACATTGATGATACCATCTGTGTTAACTCTTCCTCATGAAACTGAAGAACTCTGTACACATGTTTCTTACAATCTTTCAGTGGCCTTCTTTCTTTAAGGCGAATTCTTTCTTTTACTAATCTGATCAATTCTGTAATATTATAAAATTCTGCTTCTTCTAAAACTCCCTCCTCTGCAATATCGTTATTAATAACCAATTTACCATGTCGAAGATAATTGAGCACTGGAGAAAAATACGTTGGGTCTCTGTCTATTAAATAAGCCCCGGTTTCATCCTGGAATGTTATCAAATGAATTTCAAATATATCGGATACAATGGATGCCAGAACATCCAAATATAGGATAATTTGCATACAAAAGATTATAAAAAATGCTACTAACTAACCCTGTCAGAAATCAAGTCACTGTCCTCTTGAACTAATCGATACAAAAATGAATTAGGATCTCTGCACAAAGTTGTTTTTGTTGTAAGAAAATATGTCCCGCCAACATTTAGTTTTACCCATTGTTTACTACTTCGCCTCTCATTGTTGAATTTTTGAATATTTTCCTTCACAAAGTCACCATGTACAACACGATCCGCCATGGCGTACCATAAACCAACCAAAGGTATTTTCAGTGTGACCAGATCTAGCCGCGGCAGCTGTGTTACTCTATGGACCAGATTCGCTAGGAATATTGTGGATTCATATCGGCCGGCCCTACGAACGCCCAATACCTATGTGGCTAGATTTTGGTATGCTTCTCTAAAACTAAAGATAGCAATGTGTTATGATATTATGTTCTCTATACAATACAAAAAATGCATTAAGTAACTTGCAGCTTGCTATAATATTCTGTGACGGGGCTCGGGGTGCAGCATTACTTGCTCAGTGGCGCAGAGAGGCGGGGTGCATCGCATTCGCATCGCACGTAACCAAAATCCGCGGCGGATTATGTGGCCCGCTGCGCCCGGCTAAAGGGAGCGATAGTTCATGTAAATATATACGAGCGATTTGGGCGGACTTTTGCGCTGTGACCCGACCCACTGCAGCAAGGCAATGTGCGCCATCCATTATAGGTTCCGGAGACGATCAATTCGACTTGTTCAATCTTACATTATTGACGGTTTCACATAACCAGCTACTTAACGCCCATTGATGGCGCCGTCAATTGCACAAGCTACAGTCGCCTACCATGACATGAATTACAGCAGTGGCAAAAAAACAGTCAAATGCGAGTCGGAGTCACGCACAAAGGGTCGTGTCATTTCATTATCTATACAACATTAAACACTATTTCGCAAAAATGGCAAAAAAACCCGTTTGTTTTAAGGGGTGAGCCCTTAAATATTTATTCAGCTCATGAGATTCAACCTGATGACCGTCAGACACACAGACGGACAATGGAGTCTTAGTAATAGGGTCCCATTTTTCCCTTTGGGTACTGAACTCTAAAAATTATATTTCTTTATAACGATATTAATAATATGACAAAATCACGCTGGTTAATAATGTCGGCGCTTTTTGCCATTGCCACGTTTAGGTTCTCCATCTTCAATGTTGCTTGTCAATACCCATCAAGTCGCGTCAAGTGCATGCGCATCAAGTGCCGTCAATCAAAATTATTGTCAATTGTGATCGATCTCGTAGTTAGGGACACGATATCGAATAGAAAGTATCGATACTGTACTCATGAGTAGTATCGGTAAAAAAGTATCGTACTCGTAAAAGTATCGAAACAAAAGTATCGATACTTCAAAGTATCGAGTACATTTCATAGGGCCTTATCGGAGCCTCTGCTCATCAGGCCTCTGTGGCCTGATGAGCAACCCCCCCCCCCCCCCCCCCGGTGTTAAAATTGAAAGAAAAACAATCGAATTTTATTATAGTACGTATAATCAAAAAGGACATGGAAATTCACAAATTGCTATATTATATAATGAAAAGAAAATAGCTGTTATTTCTGACACTAAAAAAGTGTTCATTAATATTCTTTTTTTCAGGTGGTTTCAAATAAGTATACACAGCACAGACAGAATAATAGTGTTACACTTGAATAAATCAAATACAGTCAAGCGAAAAGCACAATAAACGGCGTATCAATCACAGTTCCTAACAATATGGTCGCTAAATAAATAACTATGAAACAAAACAAAGCGCAAAATAAACACCGTCACAGATTGGAAAGAATTTGAATATGTCAGTTACTGACTTTATAACAACGCAATAGGGCATTTGACAGTATTAAAAATAAAGTGCCAAAATAACGAAAAAGATATAAGTTTTCTTATCTATTGTCACGTAACCCAAAACGCTTGGGATTGGCGGAGCCTAAAATGACGTCACACGCAACTAAACTTTCGGTCAAAGTGACATTACATTGTATCGTTTGACGTTTTAATAACAGTCGTGTGACGTCACACACTAGTAAAACGCCGTATTGTCCAGAAAAACATTTTCGCGGCAACTTGAAAATGGAGTTTTTGATTTGGTTATTTTTACTGAAATACACAACAGAATGATGAATATCCACTTTTTACGGACTCCATAAACATTAGTCAATAACGTGAGATCGTTGCCTAAAACTTGTCAAATACCCTATGGAACGTTTTAGAAGATTTGCTATGATTTAACAAGATGGCATTGCCATCAATATGAGGCGCTTATCCAAATTTTTAAAGGAATCGATACTTGCTAAAAAGTACTCATTTAGTAAAAGTATCGAATACAAAGTATCGAGTACAAAAGTATCGGTATCGAAAGGAAAAGTACTCGATACCACAAAGTATCGATACTTTTTTCGTGTCCCTACTCGTAGTATGTTTGACGGTAGCAACGCGGTAAACAATCAATATTTGCTTCAACACGTATAATGCGATTCGAATAAGAATAGGAAAGCCAATGACCTCCATCTGTCAAATGTCGCTTGAAAAGAAATATTATTAAAAATCGGTTGTTTTTTTCTCTCAATCTTTATAAATTAATTTTATTAAAATTCGGATGTTTTTTCTCACTCTACCTATTTGGTTTGAATTGACAGCTATGACGTCAAAATATGGCGCCCAGTCGGTCCTTTTCTTACAATTCTTGTAGTGGAATCGCATTGGTAGTTTTCCAATTACAGCATTATAGCGCATTATGCGGCATAATGCTTAACGTTGAATGTTTCAACTACAGCAACGCTTCGCACAATCGAGCACTCTCAAAAGTAATGCTTTCGTGTGATGTGTGCAATCGTACCGACTCGGTGACAGAAAATTAACAAATATTTTTTGAAGTTATACTTCTTTAGGCGCGTTATGAAAAAATGATGAGAGTGAAATTTTAAGATGCGCGCGCATCACTGTAACACAAAATTTTAACAGCATAACACTTTTGTGTTTACCGCACATTAAGAAAATCTACCAACAAAATAGAAATAGAATCTCTATTTAGTGGGTGCTAACGACTGCATTGTGAAGGCCTATCAAAAGTATTTATTAATCTGGAACAACGGAACCAAAGCGCGATTCAGGAGACTACAGCGCCATCTCTTGACCATTGGTGTAGTAGAACCAAAAACCACATCTTTATTTTTTGTAATAAAGTAACAGTTATAGGTATTCATATTTATAATATCAAAAGTATTTATTAATCTGGAACAACGGAACCAAAGCGCGATTCATAAGACTACAGCGCCATCTCTTGACCATTGGTGTAGTAGAACCAAAAACCACATCTTTATTTTTTGTAATAAAGTAACAGTTATAGGTATTCATATTTATAATATTTATCCATATGTTTCTAGTTTGTATATTCGGAATACGTGTTTGAGTTTCATACAAGTGCAAATCACATATGTTCTAATAAATTATATTCAGTAGCGATTTTAATTGAATATTTTGATTATTTATTTATTTTTTCAAATTAAAACTGAACTTTATTGACTGTGTCCTTTTCCAGACTTTTTACTAATTTATTGTAATTAATTATTTGCATGCAATTAAAAACTAATTTTAAACGATGCCAAAGAAGGATAACTTCTCACGCGTCTACATAAGTACACGCACCCATTTTTTTTAAGTTGGCATTGATCGAACGTTAGTTAAAATAATCAAAGTTAATTCAAACTGTGTTAAAAAATAAATTAGTAATAAATATGGATGAAGGTACAAATATTGACTTTTTTTTATATTCCACATTTAAAATGTGAATACAATTTTATTTCAGAATTTGAATCTATAAACAAAATTATTTTACAGGAATATACTTTTTCAAAAATTGTATACTACTTTAATTACACAGGTAGCTTTCCAATTACAGCATTATAGCGCATTATACGGCATAATGCTTAACGTTGAATGTTTCAACTACAGCAACGCTTCGCACAATCGAGCACTCTCAAAAGTAATGCTTTCGTGTGATGTGTGCAATCGTACCGACTCAGTGACAGAAAATTAACAAGTATTTTTTTTAAGTTGGCATTGATCGAACGTTACTTAAAATAATCAAGGTTATTGCTCTATGAATATTTTTTTTTTCAACACTGAACTTAGCGCACTCTGCTGGTGCATTTGAAAACTTCCATAATTCGGCATTGTGCGCCACTGAGTCGCATTATGCTCTGTAATTGGAAAGCTACCTATAGACTTGACAAGTCGACTCGATCGTCTCCAGGACGCATTAGAGCGAGCGTTTTCCATTTAGAAAAAAAAGTCGACACTGTGTTGCACTGTGTCGACGATACTATAGCAAAAACCTAATGCCAACTAAAGCTTGGTAACTTCAATACTTTTCATTGGTTTCAGTGTTACCAATGAAAAGTAATGAAGTTACCAAGCTTTAGTTGGCATTAGGTTTTTGCTATAGTATCGTCGACACAGTGCAACACAGGTAGCTTTCCAATTACAGCATTATAGCGCATTATGCGGCATAATGCTTAACGTTGAGTGTTTCAACTCCAGCAACGCTTCGCACAATTGAGCACTCTCAAAAGTGATGCTTTCGTGTGATGCGTGCAATCGTACCAACTTAGAGACAGAAAATTAACAGGTGTTTTTTTTAAGTTGGCATTGATCGAAATGTTTTATTTATATGTTATCGTTGGTAATATTATTTATTGTTGAAAAATTATTAAAACTTTCGTTTCATCATAGTTTTTTTTTTAAATAATCAAAGTTAATTCAAACTGTGTTAAAAATTAAATATAAATATGGATGAAGGTACAAACATTGACTTTTTTTTTCAACACTGAACTTAGCGCACTCTGCTGGTGCATTTGAAAACTAATTTACGTTCCAATTAAGCATCAGCATAATTCGGCATTGGGCGGCACTGAGTCGCATTATGCTCTGTAATTGGAAAGCAACCACAGTGTCGACTTTTTTTTCTAAATGGAAAACGCTCAGAATCTCATAATGGTCTATGCATTAGAGATTTGATCACAGACAACAGAGATTGTAATTTGATTGTGTCTATGGTTGAGATTGTCTACTTTTTTGGTCAAATCTTGGATATAACAAAAAATTATTTTACTTCTCAAACAACAAAATAATCTAAGATTGAAAGAATTCTACAAATTTGTTGCATTGAATAAAGTGTTCTATAAAATGTTCGTTTGAAAAAGAGTGCTCTATGTCATAATGAACAACAATTTAGAAAATGAAAGATCTGTTACAACTGGTAAAATGTATCCAATTGATTTAGCGCCACAAAAGATAACTATTGTGAAAAGTGTTTCTAATGCAGAAGTTAAAATGGCTCATTTGATCACTGGACAACCGAAAACCTCGAATCCTGGTCAAATTATAGCCCACACCGGCCCTGTGGGCCTAATGCGTCCAGCTGCTCAAATCATCTCACCAAGCGTCGCTTCTCAGGTAAATGGGTCTTGTATGATTGTTTCTAAGTTAGGAATGGTAAAAATTTGTATATAATCGATTTCAATCAAATGTTTACAGATTTAGTGATCAGTGATGATAGTTTTTACACTTGTATTATTTGCATTTCAGTCTCAAATGATAGTGAGTGGATCGCCGATATTGCAAGGAACCCAAGGATCGCAACTATTGAGCCCAAGTACCCAAATTATATCCCAGTCCCAATTGATAAGTCCAAGTGGCCAAATACTGAGTCCTGCTACACAAATAATCAGCCAGGGGTCACAATTGTCTGCTCAAGTATCTAATAATAGCACAGGGACAAACAATGCTCAAACAAGTGCAACATCAGCAGGTGCAACACAAGTACTGAATGTTGGTGGCCAACTTGTTGGTGGCAGTGGAAATTTGGTAGTCAGCTCATCTGTGCGCACACTGCCACCAAGTGTAAGAGTGTTATCTCCTTTGCCACATCACAATACAAGACCTGGTAACTATACACATTTTTGGTTAAACCAATAAACCTCTTTCATTATCTTACGTCATCTAATCATTGTATTCTGTTTCCTTTGACAGTGTTATCCAGTGTCAATGTGAGCACTTCTAGTGGTGTCTTGGTGAACAAGAGTATTGGTATGACAAGTCATGTACCTCGTGGACTGGCTGCAGGAGCTTCCCTGGCTGTCAGACCAGTCACCCCAACAGCTTCTCAAGGAGTTGGTGGTCAAGGTATTTGCTATTACTTATATTCAACATGTTTAATTCTTTCAAAGTAAATAACTAAGATATGAGTTAATATGATATATTTCTTAAAGATTAATTGCATTTTATCTCCTAGGTGCATGGTCAAGTGCCACCCGAGGAGCTCGAGGTGCTTTGGTCTATGGTGCTCGTACAACAACCCCGCGTGCTCCAGGAAGCCGCCCTGTGACCCCTACAGGACTAACAGCAACTGCCACTCATCCAGCCTCAGTACAACCCTCCTTAACAACACAATCTCCACATGCTGTTGTCTCAATGCCCAGCACAACTGTTCTAACTTGTAAGTGTGTTGGTTTAGCTATATTATTATAAATAAATTTAATTTTTCATTTATTTTTGTTGACATATGGTTGAGTTTTACAAAAATAAAAATTTTCATAATATATGTGTGATTTGAAAATAATTCTTTTGATGTAACATTTTTATTACACAATGTTTGTGATTCTTTAATCATTTTATGTTTTTGCCAAAATAGTCAACCATCTGTTTTATTAATATTTTTTCTGGTAGTCATAGTATAAATATAGTACCTAAGAACATTATTTTTCGGAGTCTATTTTTAAAGGAAGTTTATAGCCTGATGAATATGTTAAACCCTTAAATTTACAGTGAGAGAATAAACTTAAAACATGCACTTTCCATTATCATTTTTACTTGGTATATTCAATATACAAAATTTCATTATTTAAATTGGAAGCATTATACAACTCTTCTGAAACATCCATTTTTTTCCCTACCATCCATTAAGGACATTTAGGGATAGGGATTTATTTAGAGGACAATAAAGTTATAAGCTAAATATCTTTCAGGTTTACGCTGGTTTCACTCTAAAATTGTAGTATTACATCTTCAATTTCATAGGGGACATTCTAGATTTATTTAATTATTGAATATAACTGATATATATTTTCTTTCTTTCAACTTAAAATGTAAAACACTTGTGAGTATTTCTACATAGATAACTTACTAATACTATGGATTAAGAGAGGACTAAAGAATTTCACACATGCTCAATCCATGCACATGATTGTTAATATATTATAGACTTATTCCTTGACAATATTTTCAAATTTTGTAGCCAGTGGAGTCATATCTGGTACAGTGAGAGGCCCAGCACCACGTTTGCAAGCTCCAGCGCCGACTTCGGTGGTGTCTACTCCACGCCCTTTACCACTATTACAACGAAATTATCAGCCCAAGGTAAAGTAAACACAGTAAATTTGAACATATTAACCATAATATATATATAATCATACAAAAAGTTTCAATTATACTATCTTATATCAGTCTTAACTTTTTATAAAAGCAGGTCTGAAATTACATATGATTCATTTAATTATCTCGTTTGTGATAGTTCAATTTTTCTTATTTTTCGGAAGAGACCACCAGAAGTACCAATACAAATTCCTTATATTAAGTTGGGGAAGTCTTTACATTTTCTATGTTTCTTTTAATAAAGTTTATTTACATTTAACTAATGTAGGTGCCATTTTATGTGATAACTTTTTGCCATCTTGTAGGGACATGATTGCATAGCTATGGAAAGTTTTGGGGCTTCTGATTAAAAATCTGCCATAAGTGATTTTGGCAGTCCTCTCGTGATGTTAACTCACACTGTCCAAAGATTAAAAAAATAAAAATGTATCAAATTTCTTTATTAGATTTACTACTTACAGTAAGAAAAACCAATTGAAAATCTCACATTTTTCTAATTAGAATTTAAATCTTCTCTAAATTTTAATTTTTACCCGACTGCGCAATGCAAGAGCGCGACGCGCAGACAGGGTATTGTGTTTAACAGTCTATATATGTATGTTTGTTCCTTTGTGGCACACTAGAGACCAAACGCCTGGACCGATTTTGATGATTCATACATCAATCGATTCGTCTCAATCATGGGAGTGCTACTAAAGATATGATAGTAATCAAAATTCAATGTGGACAAAATTAGACGCCATATTGTCACGAAGTAAAAAAAAAAAGTTGACAAAATATGTCGAGTGGGGTATCACTGTCTAGATAATCGAAAATCATGTTGAGGTTTATAACACCATTTTTCATTTTATATGATTGTTTAGGATCTAGAACGCTTTAAAGTTGTATATTAAACACTTGCTCTTTTAATTTCAATCTTACGTTTGTATGGATCTTTGTTACTCTTTCACCTAAAAAATACTGAATGGATTTTAATGAAACTTAACAGTAATATAGCTCATATATGATAATAACATATATATAATAATTTATGTAGTTATTGAGTGAATTGGCCAAAATATAACAATAAGTGTCACATAAGACGGAAAAAATCTCCCATCTGCAAGCCATTTTGGCCTGCACTGCAAAAACAATAAAAGTTACATGAATATAATGTACAGTGAAAATGTATCTCTTAAATAGTTCTAAAAAAAGTCCGTAACACCATATATCTATTTTTAATGTGTAAGCCATTACCGCTAAAATAGTGAATCAAAACTAAAATATTATTTGATATATATTTCCAAAATGCACATTTTGTATTAACAAATTATTTTTCATCAAAACAAATACTTTTATCGCTTTTGATATTTAAAGACGATAAACTTTGCCTTTTACACTATGTCATTTCGACAAATATTTAAAAAGTTTAAACGATGACAAAGTGATAGCGCGGTAATACTGAGAGAAGGAGTAAACTGCGGGAGGAATACTAAGAGAAGAAATTTTATTTAGGTGTTTAAAAACGTGGAGAAACTAGGCGAAAAAGAAAAAATGGGCTACTCGCAGTATCCGATCCTATACGAAGTACTTACCCTACAATAAAACTGTGATACAGTTCCTTCTTATTAAATGATGAAAAATAAATTATCATAATAGGTATTTATGATTATTGAATTTTAATGAAAAACTCAGGATTATACTGTTTTTTTAACGATATTACTTAATGTTACATAAAAGGTTTACTTATGATAAATAACACATTTTTCGCTACATATTATGATAAATAACACATTTTACGCTAGTAGGTACATACTTATTGGAATCCCTGTATTTATTAATCAGCTCGCGATTATATTGGTTTTGTAATTATAAACGATAATTCTGCAAAATTCAAAGTAAATAATATAGATAATAGTATTTAATTGATGAAAAAGAATTAAAAATAAAGTAACTAATAGGTTTATGTGATTATATTTATAAAAGTTATTTAACATTTGTGCTTATCAGTGATACGTTATTCGGTATTTTATTTATACAAAAAAAAAATATATTTGGAAAATAATTGCCATGATTGCACTATTTGCAATACATACTATGCTGGTAGCAGCACGGTTGATAGGTGGAAATATACTCTTCATTCGAGCTTTACACTAACAATAAAACTATAAATTGATAATAAATGAGAATGCTATGGTGCTCTACCTAACTTTATGAAAAATTTATTATGCAATTTTAGTTTAATCAAATATTATATCCTTTGCTTTGGTGATTGCATAATTATTTAATTTAGCGATCTAAAGCAGTTGCTACCATTGTTCAAAACAACAGACGGGAATTACTGCTTTCTTCAACCTGCGACATAAACTTCATTGATTGGTATTGTAAGTATATAGGGTGATTAACAACATTTGTAGTTAACTTCTGGCATCTACATATTGGGTTTCTGTGAATTATGTAAGCTATATCAAATTATGGGACTAGGATATGACATTGCATTTGTGTATATCACAATCTTAGAGCCGGACGTGGACATGACAATGCAGCTACTGCCAATTTTAAATAGTCGACGAATAAAAGTAAATTAATTTTATATTTACTGCTAAACTACTAAAAAGAACATAAACAAAAGATGATTTTTAGAATAAGTGCTAGTTTACTATAAAATTTACACATATTAGATATATACGTAGGTAACAACTTCATTTAACTTCACACATTTTTGCGAAAATTGAGGCCCATCTGTAGCCTTGACCCCGCTGGTAAAGTCTTTATATGTCTTAATAAATCAATCTTTTAGACCGACGCAAGGTACTTAATAATTCCCGCGATATTAATTCCCTTACTGAAGTATTGACTACGGTATATACCGTCTTAAAATACTAACTAAAAAGTGTGAAATAAAAAAGGTAAATTTAAAAAAATCAAAAAACCCGACTGCTTAATTATTCTATTCTTCAAATTATTATTCTTCAAATAAAAACTGAAAAGAAAAAAACAAGTCCAGTAGTCTATAATTCTGTTAATAAGGAACAAAGCTAATTTAACAGTCGGGACCCACTGTTGAAAAATATTATGTATTCTTGAATATCTAATGGGTCCCGACTGTTAAAGTAGCTTTGTTCCTTATTAACAGAATTATAGACTACTGGACTTGTTTTTTTCTTTTCAGTTTTTATTTGAAGAATAATTAAGCAGTCGGGTTTTTTGATTTTTTTAAATTTTTTAATGATACCAAAACCAACCATATACAAATGGTATAGCCAAAGAGAGTTTATTACAAGTTCATACATACTTTAATTACGAAAAGACTTTTTCCTCAACCTAATAAGTTAATATCCATGCATGACACATAATATTTATTACCTACTTACTTTGAACTAAATTGAGATTTTATGGACAACATCTTTTTACCTGCACTATGAGCACATTGATTTTGTTTATTAACTCCTGTCACAATATGAAGTCACATTTGAATAATAAAAACCGACCAAGCGCGAGTCGGACTCGCGCACGAAAGGTACCATTATCTATACAAAATTAGGCAAAATTTTAATTTAAGAGTAATTTTTTCCAATTTTCAGCATAGCCTAATATACTCTTTAAACAAATTTGCGTGTCAAAAACTTGCAAGATTTGATTTCCGACTTAAATCCGTCTATCAAAAATCAAAGTGGAAGCACGACAGTGTCTCTCCCTCACGCTCACTCATTTCCTTGGTCATAAACACACATTTGATTGATATTGCTACTGTGGTATTTTATCAAGTACTATAAAGCAACGTGATCGGCAATAGCTGGATGTCAACGAGGAAATAAACGGGAGGATACGAACGTTATATTAGGTGGTGGGTGTGGCTAGTGTGGGCGTGCGCGGCGTAGTAGGCAACAGTGCGCCCACACAGCTTTACTACGAAGTGCCGCGCGTAATGACAGTAGCTGAATATCAATGGTGAAGTAAACTGAAGGATACGAACTTTGTATTAGGTGGTGGGTGTGGTTTGTGCGGCCGTGCGCAGCAAAGTAAGAAAAAAAAAATAGTATAATGAGATGTCTTAGGATGAATAAGGGAAAACAACAATAAACGCTTTTAGTACTCTATTGTATATTTTTAATGACAATAATATGTTATTCGCATAAACACCTCTCTTTGGAAACCAAACATGATAACACACATGTGTATCATGACTCGGAAGAGGGGAAGTAAACATTACCCTAAGTACGAGCCAATATCGAATTCGAATATTTTGCGAGTGCAAAATGTCATTGTCAAATTTTGTATGGAAACTTGAAGCAGCGCCACAACGGACGTAACGAGAACTAAAAATCAGTACACATTTGACGTATAAAATAGATCGAATTCAACTATTCGAATTCGTTAATGGTTCGTGCTAAACGTACTGAAAGATACGAATGTTGTATTGTTGTGTGGGCGTACGCGGCGTAGTGGGCAACAGTGCACCCACACAGTTCTACTACGAAGTGCCACGCATAATGACAGTAGCTGAATATCAATGGGGAAGTAAAGTGAAGGATACGAACGTTGTATTAGATGGTTGGTGGGGCAAGTGTGGGCGGGCGCGACATTGTAGGCAACAGTGCGCCTGCACAGCAAATAATGTACAGTAATGGCAGTAGTCGTTACGCGCGGCACTTCACAGTAGAGCGCGTATTCAGCTACTGCGGAGAAACATTAAAGCTATTAACGGGATTGTTACCGTGTACCTTGTTTTTTGTGAGTCTCCGATATTTCGGCACTGTTACAAGCGCCATGTTCACGGAGTAACTGAATTAATTGCGGGTAGATGTTAATGGCAGACATGTCGGTCTACCCTCTTAAGTTTTTTATTGCGTTCGATACCCCTACCACTGGTCACATTCTCACTATTCACTCGCACTTGTTCCCGACACACAATACTCACAGTACCAGATCCGGTAACGACACTTTTTAGATTTTTGCGGTTGTTACACATACGAACTACTGGATTCCAGACACTTGACAATTTAAACCCATCCTTACGATTGAAATTCTTGTTTGGTTATTTCAATCGCTTCTCTGACCAATCTTGGTATGTAGTGGCGTTCTGTCGAGATAATTTGTGAATTATGGTGCTCAATCCAGCGATTAGGACCCGAATCAATTAAATGTTCCGCGATGGCTGATTTTTGCGTATCATTTGGTGTGCAACAGTGCCGAAATATCAGAGACTCATAAAAAACAAGGTACATAGAAAGAATGTTGTATTAGGTGGTGGGTGTGGCTAGTGTGGGCGTGCGCGGCGTAGTGGGCAACAGTGCGCCGGCACAGCTTTACTACGAAGTGCCGCGCGCCGCTGCACCGCCGCCGCAGCCGCATACGCTCGCGCCGCGCCCGATCGCGTACGGCCACGCTCCTTCGCCCACACCGCTCCAGCCGACGCAGCCTCCGCCGCAGCAGCCGACGCAACCGCAGCCGACGCCGTCGCCACAGGCGCCCCACTCGCAGCCGATGCAAGGTACGTACCATCGACAATGACATAGCATAAACAGTCCCCGTAGCATGAGCACCATGAAAAATCACGTTTTTATCGTATCTAACTGTCAAAATATCGCGGTGCTCGTGTTTGCTTCTATTCTACTTGTATGAGATGAGTGTCGGTCGTCCCGCCTATTGTCTATTAGATCAATGACATACAATAGGATCTTCTTTTACTCATTGACTGCCTTGTTTTGTACCTAATTTGATGACTTTAGCAGATAAGTATCGGGATTCTTTGAACAAGAACAAAAAGCCGGGGCGACCCTTTGGTCAATGAATCGGTCAACTATAGGAAAATCGTCTTAATAGTGGTCCAGCCTTGACTTTCTTGACTTTACCTACATACAGATACTGCACCACTACTTTATACCACATCTCCCGCGCCATTAAGTACCAGCCGCAACAAAGATCTAATTGTAAGAACAAAGCAAACAGTACAGTCGTACAATTTGAACCTGTACTGATAGAAGTGATATTGAATTGGATAATAATTTATTTGCCACAAAAAAATGATTTCTTTTCGAACTCATAGATCTGAAATTTAATTTAAAAAAAAAGACTGGTGTCTGGACTGCAATTTCACAATATAACGTAAAGTTAGTCGCCTTTTTCTGTCCCATGCGTCGTATCTTCAAAAGACGCTGCAGTCGTAGCTAACACGACACGTACACACACTACTGACGACATTAACAAATAAACTTGTGCAGTAATTTTTGTATGTAAAATTGCTACTGCGCTGGCTTCCTTGTTTATGGTCGTTCCTTAAAATTTTTGTCGGGATGTATTCTTGGCGACATCTATGGCTTCACACTACACTTGGCTATCACATATTTTTTGTATAGTTTTCAAGCGAATTTACAACAATACTATTATATCCATCCATGCATGTTTACATAGGATTCATAACCTCTTCATGGTTTTTAGGAAAAAATATTGAATACTACTGTTATTATGGCACCAGCACAGGCATGTTGAATGATTTAAAAAGAAAGATATTATTTTAATTTAAAAAATCTCCATAATCCGAACGAAACAAAATTAAGTTAATGGCAATTGAATTTCACATGCACTTATTTGAAATATGATTACTGTTCTTATTCTATTAGGAGAGCAATTAAATTAGGTCTCATGTTAACATTGTATTTTTTAATTATTTGTTATTATTTTTTGAGTAAAACGTTCTAATATTATCATCTCTCTTCATTCAGTAATAAATTGAAACTATGGTTAGGAAAAATTGAGAACCTAGATATACGAATTTGCTACAACAAACTTATATTTTCTCTTCTAGCCTTAAAAATTACACTTAGTTTGTGACTAACGCCTACTTCATCAACTGTTTCAGCTTTATGGTCGTCTGTGGGATGTTGTTCTTTTACTAGAACAGTCTTTAGCTATTATAAATTTTCAGGAGCTGGTGCCCGCTGCCTGACCCTTCGTTTTAGCTCGTCCCATTGGGGTGTTCTATCGCAATAAGGTCTGAAGGGCATGCCTGGCCAATCCGAAAATACCGGTATTGGAACTGCTCGCAAGTACTGTCTTTCGCAAATTGCGGTATGTGGACAGGCATTATCGTGCATTAACATGAATTTATAGCCGATAAATCCAATTTGTGGTACTGCATGGTCTTGCAATACGGCTGTAATGTACGATGAAGCAGTCACATCAGTCGATTCACAATAAAGAACACCATACTCGCTCATAAACTTATGCCACCCCAGAACTAAAATATTCAACTTCAAAGCTGACCTTTTTTAGATAAATCATATTGTTAGTTTGTTAAAGGCATATTCGCGACTAATAACCAAAAGATCATTTTATCCCATAACTAAAGCCAAGATTTATGGGGTGGCCTAATTTGATTGCTCGTCAATTTATAAAAAGTGCTTCTTTCAGTTGACTGTTGAAAGGCCAGAATAATGCTAGTGAACATCAACAACTCAATTCAAGTTATTGTCTTAATTGCAGCTTATTATATCTTGTTGTTTCCTTTTTAGTCAATAATGTTCCAGTTGTAGCAGAAACTAGAGCTCAACCTAGTGGCGTTCAAAACGCACCCGTGGTCCCTCGCCCGTCGATCCTACGAAAACGAGATATTGAAGGGTAAGTAATTTTTGATTTCTATGGTACAGAAAAAGACTAGCTGAGATAAATTTCACTCTCCTACCCAGAGTTTACTTTATACTTTCATTCATAAGCTGTAATTTTATCAGGGCGGATGCCTGCATCCGCATAATGCTCCCTGGAGCATTATGCTACCGCGGCCCTAATGACCGTGTCAAATTCTTTCTAGTACTTCTTAGGCTGCGAAGCAGCGCCATCTCTTCGCATCGTAAGTAACGCACAATGTCGAACGAATACCTTTATAAGTATTAAACATTGGAAAGAAGAAAAAGCAATTGTATATTTTTTCTAGATTTTTGAATCTAAAGAAAAATATACGAACCCACAACCTTCACTGTCCGGGCTAGATTAAAACATCTAGCAGTTAAATGCTTAAAAAATAAAAATATCACTACAATTTTTTTACAAGATTCAAAGACAGCCAGACATTACTTATTTTCTCATGGACGAAATATGGATAATTGAGAAGTATTAGTGTGTACAGTGAACGTACACACATACTTTCTACCTTGTGCTACCCCTCGATTAAATACATGAATTTGGTATCACATGAGTGTTTTAATACTTAATTATAAACAGTTGCATATCAGATTTTATCTACACCCTTGATATAAATACTCTGTAAATGATTCTTAAACCATAGGGCGTTCTAAGAGCTTAAAATTCATGAAAAGTTTTAGTAGTGGAAAGCGCGTGAATGACAATGTACTATTTTGAAATCCATTATATCACGCATGGAGGGAGCCTTGGACGAAGAATCTCGCTCTGACCGAGCAGTGAAAATTGTGGCTGTTTGATGAGTAAGCCCTTTGCGCGGAAGGGATCGAAAAAGCGAAGGAGTGTTATTATGAAATTTAGTACAACATGAAACATCGTTTGGATGATATTGTTTTTTTTAAATAAGACATTGGACATTTTAATGTTGGCAATAAGCTAACTGTTTCAGTACCCTTAGTACGAATTTGAGCTCACGAAAACTATCATAGTTTTCGTAATTGTAAATTATGATTCTATGTCCATTTTGGTGAATAGTAACCAAATATACTTAAAATTTAAGAAGACAAATGATTTAATGATAGAATTTAAACACTGTTTATTTGTATTAAAACGAAAACAATAAAATCAGTACCCTTAGTCATACTAAAGGGTACTGATTTTATTGCGGTGCGAGCTCTGAAAAACTATCATAGTTTTCGTAATTGTAAAACTCGTACTAAGGGTACAGAATCTTTAATAGAGGTCGTAAAGAATGGGTGTGATAAATAAATAACTCGTCAATGTTTCAACAAGGTCTCCAACGAAAGCAACCTGCGCGGCTCCCGTGGGTCCGCCTATAGTTCCAGTGAGCTCTAGCTACCGCGAAAACACCGGATGGGAGGACATCCCGGGAGGAGGCGGGGGCCCGGGTTCCGGGGGCTCCACGACCATATCGGCGTCCTCCTCCCCCGCGCCCGATGATGAGCCCGACCCGCCAAGGAACGAGGACGTCTCCCCAAGAAAGAAACCAAGGAAGCAGTTGTAAGTATCCAAGTATAGTATGGTATAATCTATATGGATGTTGTATTGTTAGCGGCGATCGCTGGCTATTGTGACTACATCGGGTGGGAACTTGGACGTCTCACCAAGGGGGCAAATGTAAGTATAGTGCTGACAGAAGTATAGAGTCCTAGCTACCGCGACAACACTGCATGGGAGGATATCCTGGGGGGAGCGGAGGCCCGGGCTCCGGGAGCTCCACAACCATATCGGCGTCCTCCCCCGCGCCCGATGATGAGCCCGACCCGCCAAGGAACGGGGTCGTCTCCCCAAGAAAGAAACCAAGGAAGCAGTTGTAAGTATCGAAGTATAGTGTGGTATAAACTATATATAATTATGCATGTTGTATTGTTAGCAGCGATCGCTGGCTTTTGTGACTACACTGGGTGGCAACGTGGACGTTTCGCCAAGGGGGCAAATGTAAGTATAGTGCTGTAGAGAAGTATAGACTCCTAACTGCCGCGACAACACTGCATGGTAGGATATCCTGGGCGGGGGCAGAGGCCCGGGCTCCGGGGGCTCCACGACCACATCGGCGTCCTCCTCTCCCGCGCCCGATGATGAGCCCGACCCGCCAAGGAACGAAGACGTCTCCCCAAGAAAGAAACCAAGGAGGCAGTTGTAAGTATCGAAGTATACTGTGGTATAAACTATATATAATATGGATGTTGTGTTGTTAGCAGCGATCGCTGGCTATAGTGACAACACTGGGTGGGAACGTGGACGTCTCGCTAGGGGGGCGAATCTCTTATCTAATAGACAAGTCCGTCCGTCCGTCCGTGGTGCTGTTTCAGCGGCCAAACCGTAAGAGATAGATATAGAGAATGTTTAAGTTATAAGTTGAGAATAGTCTGATAAGACTACAAACCGGATGTGAGTAACGTAGCACTTCCGGTTTTCGAGAAATCACGTTATTTCTATTTCAAACGAAACCACACAAAATCTCCGAAGTTCTCAATTATATAAATTTTTTTTTGTTTTCTTTTTTTTTGGTGAACATTCGGTTCACTGGTTTGCTAGCTACCGCAACAACACTGCATGGAAGAATCATTCTTTAATTTTTAACATTTAATGTTTCAAATTAAAAAAAAATGTTAGGTTTTTTTCTTAACATTTCATTTTTGTTTATCAGGTTGACTAATGAAGTCAGACAATGTGAATACACACCAGACGAAACGCCTCCAACTCCCTCGCCAGTGACTGTCAACCCTCCTCCAAAACGTAAGTTCAACGAATAAAATAGTATCTACTGTTTAGTTTAGTAGTACTGTTCTGTTTAATAAATGTACAGTGGTGGTCACATAATTAAAGACACTCCCTAATTAACCACAAAAAACTTACTTTTGGTACTAAAATTAGCTAAATTGCTATTTAATCTAGTGTAATTATTATTAACTATACACGACGTTGTATTCTTACAATGTGGGACAAAAAATAGTTGTGTTCGTTAGCAGTTTAGACACTGCTCACTATGGGAACATAACACAAACTTTTTTAACGTACTTGTAGCTGGCCAGCTAATTAAAGACAGTAAAAGCTGTATTCTGAATTTAAAAACACAAAGAAAAAACTGCATTCTGTTTTTCTTTCCGAAAATCCGAAAAAAATCAGGCATACTCTATATACATATCCCAATAATCCCACGAAGTTTCATTAAAACCTTAGAATTCACCTTATATTTTTCGAATGAGCTGATGTAACGAGGTATAAGAGGCGCAGACTTCCTGGCATAGTCATTTCCCATTAGTGTTTTTACTAGCGCGAGTTATAAAACACTAGTGACTCGGTCTCGCTTCCTTTCGCTGTAGTTCATAGTTTTTGTCCTCGGTCTTGTATTATACATAGAAACCTGCCTCTTCAATCACTATCTGTTGCTGAAAACTAAAACAATTGTATAGTTTAAAAAATCTTAGCATACAGACAGTGGGAGCGACTTTTTTAATACTATGTAAAGATATCAACGTGAATTCATTCTCATGACTACGGTGGCACGTCCTCTATGAAGCTACATTTGAACCGCTTTTCATTTCACGCGACCCTCTTTTGCTGAAAACTGCATTTAAATCCTATGCGTAGTTTAAAAGGTGTGAGAATACAGACTACTTTGTTTTATACTACACTCGCGGGCAACCAAATCGACTCAAGCATACAAACCTTGTTTTAAGTAAAAATATAAAGCATTTTAGTAAAAATGATATGTCATTTGAAAGCTTGAAACCTAAGCTTTAAAAAAAACATCAACATGATTAAATAAAACAAGTACCAACATGTTCATTTGCGCAATTAGGGCGTATTGGACAAATCACTCACTACGCTACCTGCGAGTTGCCAGTCGCTTATCAACTGACCGATACACATCTCCGCAACCTGCATTCATTGTTTTCAAGAAACCATGGATACCACACCTCAAGGAACCGCTCAAGTTGTTGCCTTATTGCAGCAAGGACTCAGTCAGCGAGTAGTCGCTTCCCAGCTTCACTTGAGTCAGTCGGCTGTATCCCGAGTATACAGACGTTATCATGAGACTGGAGCATTCACTCGGAACCAGCCGCCACCGTTGTATTTCTGAACGAGACGACCGTTTCATTGTTTCAACCTCTCTGCGAAATCGGCACCTTACGGGTGTCGAAGTACAGGGCGAGCTGAGGTGTAGCTGTCAGCAAGTGGACAGTAAGAAGACGTCTGAAGGAAGCCAACCTGACTACAAAATGGCCTGCAACGGGCCCCAAATTTACTGCAGGCCACCGGCAAGCTCGGCTACAGTTTGCTCGAGATCATCTCAACTGGAGCGAGCGTTGGGCGGGGATACAGGCGTCTGGAAGAGTGATTTTCCCAATGCTGTTTCGCAGGAACAATTGCCTATGATGGCGGTTCGTGCATGATGTGGGCTGGTGTCTCGTTGGAGGGTAAAACCGATCTCGTTTTCGTGTCTGAAGGAGGCCGAGGAGGAGGACTGGCAGCTGATATCACAAATATTCTCCTGCAACATGTTGGGCCCTACGCAGGATTTGTTGGCGAAGACTTCATCCTAATGCACGACAATTCTCGATGCCACGCAGCGCGCGTTACTCAGCAGATCTTTCGAGAAGTCGATTTGCGCACAATGGACTTGAAAAAAATTATACATGGATGATAAAATGATGATAACTCATAAAAGCTGAAGTTTCAAGCTTTCAAATGACATATAATTTTTATTAAAATGTTGTATACTTTTACTTAAAACTATGTTTAAATGCACAGGTAGCGCTTGAATCGATTTGGTTGTTCGCGAGTGTATATAAAGACCTAGCGGCCGCCCGCGACTTCGTACGCGTGGAGTTAGTTATTGGCACATACTTTTTGACACCAAAAGGGTTATTGCGCTGCTTTAAAATTATCTATTATGTTTATCGGCCTAAGTTACTGTTAGTGTGAAGCTAGTAGCGTTTAGCGTGGTTAACATAATAACAACATTCAAATATGCATCGTTAGACTACACGTTGTTACACAATGCGTTGAAGAAATAAAGGTTCACTGCTCATTTCCCGTAGGTGATGATGATAATATGTAGCCTATATGATGACCCAACTTCTTTATAATATTCGTGCCAAATTTGAAGTAAATCCATGCAGTACTTTTTGAGTTTATCCCAGACATACATACAGGCAAACAGACAAAAATTCTAAAAATTATATTTTTGGCTTCGGTATCGATTGCAGATCACACCCCAAGTATTCTTTTAAAAAAATATTCAATGTACAGTTTTGATTTTCCTACCATTTTATTATATGTATAGATGTACTCATTTGCTTGATGATCGTGGCAGGTCCTCTATTGAGCTCGGGCTACGTTTGTGGATGGCGCAGCACCGCGTTACATTTCACGCGGCCTTCGGACGTGCGTCGTCGAGAGCCTCGCGCTAAAGACATCCTCGCCATCGCCAGCCAGAGGCATGTCCTTACCAGTGCCGAAGGCTGGAAGCTGCACCACCTCACCGCGCAGATGGACGCCTTGGTACGTACCCTCCCCATAGAGGTATAAGAATAGAGTGGGAAAGGCGGCTCTATAAGTGTCCGTCTAGTAGAAAGAGAAAGAAAATGTGAGACCGCTAGCTATCTCTCTCTATTGTGACGCATGCGTGTTCAATACTTGGTCCAAGCATCACATCGAAATAGTAAGATGCTCACGGTTGCCAATTGCGCATGCGCGATTAGAGAGAGAAAGCTAGCGGTCTCTCATCTACGAGAAAGTCTCTTTCTATTAGAGGGACACTTCCACTTGTAGTAGTGTCTATATCTCCCCTACTCTATTCTTGTACCTCTATTTCCCTCCCACCCACGGTACACTCACATCATCGCCCCTAGAGGGACGCGTCACCAGCGCCGAGAGCTGGCAGCTGCACCACTTCACTGCGCAGATGGATGCTCTGGTACATGCCCCTCATCTCACTGTACACTCACAGCAACGCCCTCCGAGGGACTCGTCACCAGCGCCGAGGGCTGGTAGCTGCACCACTTCACCGCGCAGATCGATGCCCTGGTACATGCCTTCCCACCCACTGTATATTCACAGCAACGTCCCCGAGGGACGCGTAGCCAGCGCCGAGGGCTGGCAGCTGCACCACTTCAAGGCGCACATGGATGCCCTGGTACATGCCTTCCCACCCACTGTATACTCACAGCAACGCCCCCCGAAGGACGCGTCACCAGCGCCGAGGACTGGCAGCTGCACCACTTCAACGCGCAGATGGATGCCCTGATACATGCCTTCCCACCCACTGTATACTCACAGCAACGTCGCCGAGGGACGCGTAGCCAGCGCCGAGGGCTGGCAGCTGCACCACTTCAAGGCGCACATGGATGCCCTGGTACATGCCTCCCCACCCACTGTACACTCTCAGCAACGCCCCCCGAAGGACGCGTCACCAGCGCCGAGGGCTGGCAGCTGCACCACTTCACCGCGCAGATCGATGCCCTAGTACAGTGGTTCTCAAACTTTTTAAATGACGGAACCCTTTTGGGAAGCAAAATACTTGATGGAACCCTACAATAAAACAATTATTTTTATAAGTGTATTCTATATTAATCAGCATAATAAAAGTACAATGTATCCGTTACTAATTATTATTTACTTCACCACTTGGTAAGGACAATAATAGAAAACATTAAAAAAGAAAAAATCTAACTAGTGGGAGGTATGAAACTGTTTTTTATTTTTCATCAATTGCTTGATATCAGGTTTGATGGAAGAAAGTTGGAGTCTCATATCAGCTTCGGCGTCCAGTCTATTGCGATATTTTGTTTTCGTGGCTGCGTAGGTAGAGAATCCTGTTTCGCACAAATATGTAGTTGGGAACGGGAGAAGAATATCCAGAGCCATTTGGCCAAGCATTGCATATTCATCTTGGATTCTGCACCAAAAATCATTAAGAGGCGTCGTTTTGAACAATGACTCCATACTTGTGTCTGATGACATTTCTAAAAGAGATTCATATATCTCATTTGACATGTTTTCAGGCTTTTCCAAGTTGGGTAAAAAAGGATTATGAATCCAGGAGTTCACTTTAATTTTTGTATTGTGTTCTTCGGTAAAATACTTTTCAAAAGATGCGCGCATCGAACTGAGATATTGGACCAATTCTTCAAACACATTATCTTCAAACATTTCTGAGTCGTTTTCGCTAACAAACTCAGTGAGTAACGTAAAACTTTCTATTTCTTTCTTACCAATGCAAATGATCCAAAAATCTAATTTTCTTTTAAAAGTAGTTATTTTATTATAGGCCTGAAACACTGTTGTCTGTTTACCTTGCAATGATAAATTTAATTCGTTAAGTTTTTGAAAGATATCCGCCATAAAAGACAATCGGAACAACCAAGTTTTATCATACAAACGGTCCTTCAAATTAAAAGAAGTATCTGCTGAAAGAAACATTTGTAACTCGGCTCTAAGTTCAAATAGCCTTGTTAAAGTTTTTCCCCGAGACAGCCATCGCACTTCTGTATGGAGCAGCAGTGTTTTATGTTTGCTGCCATAATCTTCACACAATAATGAGAACAATCGGGATTGTAGTGGTCGTGATTTGATAAAATTAATTATTTTTACCGCTTCATCCATAACTAATTTTAGATTAGACGGCATTTGCTTCATCGCAAGTGCTTGTCTATGCAGAATACAATGACTGGAACTACAATTAGGCGCTTTATTTTTCATTCGTGACACTGCTCCTGCTGTTTTACCTGTCATCGCCTTGGCCCCATCTGTACAAATGTCAATGCAATTGTTCCAACTGAGATTATGTTCTTCAAAAAATATATTTATTTTATTAAAAATTTCTTCCCCGGTAGTGTTTGTAAGCAGCGATGAACACATAAGCATGTCTTCTTCAAAAGAACTTTTATATGGATATCTCACAATAACCAGCAGGATAGCCAAACCAGCGACATCAGTCGACTCGTCCATTTGCAAAGCGAATCGTGTATTTTGTAGACGTGTAACTAGTTCTTGTTTGACGTAGCTTGCCAGATCATGGATTCGTCGTGAAACAGTATCGTTTGATAGCGGAACAGTAGAAAGATGCTTTGCAGATTTTTCATCAAGCATACATTTTGTTATGTCTAATACACATGGTTTTATTAATTTCTCAGCGATAGTGTGCGCTTCACCTGCTTGTGCAATGCGATAGCTAACTAAGTATGATGCCTCCGTGGCCTTTTCGTTGGTAGTTTGTGTTACATGCATCATATTTTTTTGACTTTCTAATAACTGATCTTTTTTGCGAACAAAAAATTCTTTATTCTTGTCTTTAGTCTCGGGGTGTACGGTTTCTAAATGTCGACGCAATTTGGCAGGTGCCATGGAACTATTAGGAAGCAGTTTACTACAGAGCATGCAGAGAGGTGAGCCGTTGGAATCAACAAATCCGAAACTGATATAAGATTCATCATACTTCCTTTTTTTCGTCTTTGAAACCGTCGAGCTTGACGTCGTGGCACTCGTGGCATCATCTTCTGGATCGGTGATTGCTAAATTCTCCGCGCGCATTGCTTTTGAACATTCAGCGTCATTAGAAGATGTTGTTGGAACACGTTTAACACCTTTAAGCCAACGTTCCATTCTTCTTTATTTATAATGTTACAAGTCAGGATAGTGGGGTTTAAATAATGCACAATCGTTACTGCGTATAAGAGACTAAATTTAGAACCTACAGGGAAGAAATGTATAAAACTGAGACAACAGAATACAGGAGGCAGTAAAACAATGAACACCAGTTTCTCGCTAGCGAGCTTGTAAGTAGGTAGTAACTTATCGCTCCGAACGCTAATCATCAACTGACGACGCCAACGCGCGATCGCCGCTTTTATACTTAGTCCTAGACTCGATCTCAAATATTCTCGAAAATACTCGAGTCGGCACCTTTGATAAACAAAAAGCAAAAATAAAAACAGAAATTTAAAAATAGCGTTGTAAACAATATCGACTTTATCCTTTGAAGTTAGAGACGAAAGTCGCTAGTTGACAACTATAGCGTCTAATTCAGAGGCGGCTTTTATCAAAGAGACTGAGCGCTTACAAGTATACTACCCGCTCGTTTTAAGTTTGCCGCTGGCGATAGGTATGAGTGTATGACGTTCGAAATTTTTTATTTAATTGTAACAATAAAAATTGTGTACGTTAGATATTTGGGTAAAACTATGACACATTATAAGTTTTGTTGTCACGTGGGGGAGGGTACGCGCATTCCACAGACCGGCAAACTTAGAGCGAACGCGTTGTACAAGTATAAAATTGTTGAGACCAAACTTATGAGATATTGTACCAGCTAATGTAACACAAGCTTATACAAATACAAATAAATAAATAAATAACATTCATAGCGTTTTGTCTCCGCGCGGCCGCGGAGTCCGCACAGCCGCGGAGCGACCAGAGAGAGGTGTTTTGATTTTTTTATTTCTAAATTCTTGCGGAACCCCGACAGAGGTATCACGGAACCCTAGGGTTCCGCGGAACACACTTAGAGTATAGCTGCCCTAGTACATGCCTTCCCACCCACTGTATACTCACAGCAATGTCCCCGAGGGACGCGTAGCCAGCGCCGAGGGCTGGCAGCTTCACCACTTCAAGGCGCAGATGGATGCCCTGGTACATGCCTTCCCACCCACTGTATACTCACAGCAATGCCCCCCGAAGGACGCGTCACCAGCGCCGAGGGCTGGCAGCTGCACCACTTCACCGCGCAGATGGATGCCCTGGTTCATGCCCCTTCCCCCACTGTACACTCACAGCAACGCCCCCGAGGGATGCGTCACCAGCGCCGAGGGCTAGCAGCTGCACCACCTCACCGACTTACACTTGGCCGGGTTTTTGATGTGTAACATCTTTCCTCTCGCATTCCTAAAATTTGTGGGAGTGATTTCGTGAAATGGGACGGAAGTGTGTAACAGAAAGTCGCGAAAGCGCGCGCTATTTGATTTGATTTTAGAACATAATGTTTAAATGTAGTAGGTAGGTTTTATTTCTTTTGTTATTAATATAAGGTGAGGTTTCAAATGTTACACATCATACGCGACTACTGTAAGGCTCGCTCGTTTTTTATTAATTGTGTTTCGTTTTAGGTATCGTTAGAAGAAGACGTCGGGGAGCAATTGGCGAGCTTACTGCGAGCGCTGGAGACTGCGTCGGGCCGCACCATCACCGCGTTGCAGCCGCACTCTCATTCCATGCTAGAGTTACTGAAGGCAAGTTCAACATTTATTATCCTACTAATATTATAAATGCGAAAATGTGTCTATATGTTACAAAAAAAAGTTTTAAATACATAAATAATATAAAAGCATTTGTATTGATTTTTTACATTGGATACTAAAATTTTATTCGATTATGTACTAACTGCTGTTATAACTACGACACAAGAGAGCATCAAAATGCAGTAGCGTAGCGGTGGGTCTTCGCAAACTTGAAAAGAGAGACCTTATTTTTATTAACTAAGGCTATAAACTCATCTTTATAACATTCTCTTTTTTATTGTATTTCAGGGCAATATTCAAAGAAGCAAGATTGTTTGTGAAGGTATTCAAGAAGCACGCGAGGACATACTTCGAGTATTTACTCACAGAAATTTCGTATCTGAAATTTTAACGCGCCAAGCGGACAAAAGGTGTTTCAGGAAACATCGGTCGCAATCATAGCATAGTATTTCTAAAATAAAACTATTTTGTAAATAGCATAGATAATGTGTACATTTTTGAATAGAGTATTTATATTAGTAAAAAGTGACTTCTATTTCGTTCTCTGACCTAGACTTATTTTAATACTTAATAAATTTTTATATAATAAAATAATTTTCTTACCTCCATCCCCTGAGTCCCACACCTTCATATATACATAGTTAGTTTAATGCCAGAACTTCATTTGGTTATTCGTATTTGCTATTTGTAAACTTGACAACAGTCTGTCCTTATCGTGCTTTATAATGAATGAAAAGGACAGAAGATGTCAAGTTTACGAATAGCCAAGTAAAGTGCCAGCATGGCGACATTGATTATTCTTTATTAGATCTTAAATGACGAGATTACGTATTTCATGAAACATACCTATTATGAGCATGATATTAAATGTAATGTTTAATTCGATAGATGTGTATAAGAACACGAGTTATTACATAGTAGGGGAGCCCGTGATGCTAAAGTTGCAGTTACCAGAGCGTCATGGGGACCTATTGGATTGTGAAGATAAGATGTTATGTTAGTGGGGGGAAGAGCGTGTAAAAAAATGCAAAAATGTAAAATAAAAACCTGGAATTACTTGAGCACGTCAGATATTAATAGAGTATACTCGCTTTGTGTATCTGATAACTGATGAATATTAATCTGACGATTAGATAGTGGGGGTGGCTGAGAAATTCTTTTTTAAAAAGAATAAGTTATTCCAGCGTTTCAGACATTGAAAGGGATGTTAAGTGAACTTAAAACAGTGTTTGATTTAAATTACTGACGATTTGGACGTGACCTACACTCATGACTGATTTATGAAAATGTTAAAAATAATGTTATCTTAAAATACTCTTTATTAGATAGATTTTTCTACTGTGGGTTCAACTCGATGTCAGAGTCACTCCAAATGATAATCTGACAATTAAGTAAAGGGGTACAGAAAATTGACAATTTAAAACATTTTTGATGTAATAACTTTTTTTTTTGCGGTTAAGGAATAAAACATTTTTTTTGTTTCTTCTGTTTATTACTGGATGTAATAAAAAAAATATACATATACACACATATAGAAAATCAATCGTTAATATAAAAGTAGATAAAAAAAATATTTAAAAAAAAAATCTTCATCATCACTGGATTCGTCTTCGAGGTTGGTTTCTACTTCTTCAACTTCCTTGTTATCTCGTGTTTCTGTAAGCAAGAATGGTTTTGATACTTCGCAATTTTTTCATTTATTTCTTGATATTATAGTATTAAATATGGAAACGTACTTGAATTCGACGTATCTTCGAAAATGTTTCTTTTTCACAAAATAACATTTCACATTTACATCACTCATAATTGTAATGGATATGAAACTTATTTCATAAAATTAACGAAAATACTTAAAATTCTAAGCATTTGTACGCACATGCTTTATCGATTGGTTTAGCTACATCGCACCATGAAAACCGTCAGATTATATGTTTTTCGTAATCCTGATAGAATTCCCTTCAAAATAAAAAAATAAAATCGCACTCGAGTATTTCGATGTGACGTTTTTTTTACAACTTTCCGACTCTCCCATTTCCATAAGTCACGAACAAAATGTCAGATTATTGGAATCTGGCTGTACTTAACTTACCTGTTCTTAATCTGACGCGCTCGAGCTTTTCTGAGGATCGATTTTTTGAAGTTATACTTCTTTAGGCGCGTTATAAAAAAATTATGAGAGTGAAATATTAAGATGCGCGCGCATCTGTAACACAAAAAATTAACACCATGAAGTTGGTCGCTTTCATGTGCCGCGCTGCCATTACCATTACCGCGTCGCCCGCCGCACCGTACGCATGCGCGGCCACTCGCGGTCCTAGCGCGGGAAACACGTACAGCAAACATCGGGAAAAGTTACGAGTTTTGAATTTAGAACAGAGACTGTTTTCATATCTATATATATAAAAATGAAACCCGTTTTCCGTTGTCACGACATAACATGAAAACGGCTTGACCGATTTGGCTGTTTTTTTTTTTGTAGTTTTCTAATACTCTGTACAAGGTTCTTACGGAAAAAGGGGATAAAATAAGGAATGAAAGTTTGTATGAAACTTTATCAATTTTAAACCGATCGGGCTGAGACTTTGCATGCAGGTATAAGAAGAATCATAGATGAATGTCATTGTGTATAATACAAGCCTGAGAACAAAAACTGTAGTCTACACTTCAGCTCTACACCGAAGCGAAGCGAGGGCGGGCCGCTAGTTTATAATATTTATCCACATGTTTCTAGTTTGTATATTCGGAATACGTGTTTGAGTTTCATACAAGTGCAAATCACATATGTTCTAATAAATTATATTCAGTAGCGATTTTAATTGAATATTTTGATTATTTATTTATTTTTTCAAATTAAAACTGAACTTTATTGACTGTGTCCTTTTCCAGACTTTTTATTAATTTATTGTAATTAATTATTTGCATGCAATTAAAAACTAATTTTAAACGATGCCAAAGAAGGATAACTTCTCACGCGCCTACATAAGTACACGCACCCATTTTTTTTTTACTAATCTGACGGACTGTCGTTGGACTGTCTTAAACGCACCCCAATATATTAAAGGTTTATATTTGGTAGGGGTATATTACAGGGTGCAAGGTTTCTCCCCATATGATTTTCTGACGCGCTCGAGTAACTCGCAAAATCCTCGATTGGGCTCCCCCTACTATTAGATGAAATGTTATTGATGTCAAATAGGCTAGTTGACCCTTTTTGGAAAAAGGTTTTAAATGGTTAATAAATGTTCTATTAGACCGAAAAAAAATGTATTGTATTTTTTGAGAACTAGAAAGCTACAAATCTTTAATTTTAAAATAGACTTTTCATGGACATACAAAAAACGCTGTCGGCCATTTTAGTCTATAGATTATCTATGCTATGACGTCAACCTGTAGTAAACAAAAACTCGTAAGCACGTAGAAAATAACTGAGTCTATAATAAAAAAAAACATGATTTCTAATAAATACCACGAAAAATCATTATTGTATTGTACGAGAATATAAAAACACATCCTTGAACATTCATCCTTGAAGACGTCTCTTGTTGTAGTAAACAACTAAATGTCATTCGCGTGTTACTGTTAGTGGATTCTTTCGTCTGACTAAATTTATCATAAAACACTTTTAACTTTAGAAAAGTTTCCGTTTACTGATTTTTTTTGACAAAGATAATAGGCTAGTTGACCCTTTTTGGAAAAAGGTTTTAAATGATTAATAAATGTTCTATTAGACCGAAAAAAATGTATTGTATTTTTTTTAAACCTAGAAAGCTACAAATTTTTAATTTAAAAATAGACTTTTCATGGACATACAAAAACGCTGTCGGCCATTTTAGTCTATAGATTATCTATGCTATGACGTCAACTGTGGTAAACAAAAACTCGTAAATACGTAGAAAATAACTTATAACTCCGTTTATAATAAAAAAAACATGATTTCTAATAAATACCACGAAAAATAAAGTAATTACCATTACTGTATTGTACGAGAATATAAAAACACATCCCTGAAGACTCCAGGAAAGTTGTGAACCTACGCAACTTTATTACACTTATTCATATGCTGTAACAGTTTTATGTTTATTACTACATTGTAATACTAAATGCACTGTACTTACATAGATACCTTGCCATTTCTCTGCTCCGCACAGCAGAAATCGGGGTTTAGTGCAAAAAATTCATCACCAATCATCAATGCGTCAATTCTTGGCAGATTTGTGCTTTCTGCTTTCACAAAGCCAGCATCCATAATTAGTTTTGTCAAAAAACGGATATACTGTACTTCCAGGGCCCAAAAGTGAAAACTTCACAGGTTTGTTGGTTGTAATTTCGCATTTTTGTTGTTAAAAAGGTTTCTGTTAACCACATTATTAAAAAAAATGTCACACTTATGCGGCCTGCGAAGCGCCAGAAAAAATCTGTTAAAAAGACCTTTTCTACAAAAAAAAACAAGTATCACCTTTTGGGCCCTGGAAGTACAGTTTTACCAAAAAAACTAAGTTTACTGTTTTTTTCTTTCCTAAAGTTAAAAGTGTTTTAACATAAATTTAGTCAGACGAAAGAATCCACCCACAGTAACACGCGAATGACATTTAGTTGTTTACCACAAGAGACGTCAAAATCATGGCGGATGTGGCGAACAGCGTTTTTAATGTTTAAAAAATATAGACTAAAAAATATTTTTTAAAATTACATTTCTACAGCAATCTTCTGCTTTTATGAAGTGAAATCGATATATTTAGGTTCCTTAGACCAAATACTTTAAGAAATAAACATTTATTTAATACAATTCGACATGAGTCAACTAGCCTATTATGGATGCCGGCTTTGTGAAAGCAGAAAGCACAAATCTGCCAAGAATTGACGCATTGATGGTTGGTTAATTTTTTGCACTAAACCTCGATTTCTGCTCTGCGGAGCAGAGAAACGACAAGGCATCTATGTAAGTACAGTGCATTTAGTATTACAATAATAAACATTAAACTGATACAACATATGAATAAGTGTAATAAAGTTGCGTAGGTTAATTTCTTTCGGCACTTTAATCCACAACTTTCCTAGAGTCTTCAAGGATGTGTTTTTATATTCTCGTACAATACAATTATGACAATTACTTTATTTTTCGTAGTATTTATTAGAAATCATGTTTTTTTTTATTATAAACTCAGTTAAGTTATTTTCAACGTGCTTCCGAGTTTTTGTTTACTACAGATTGACGTCATAGCATAGATAATGTATAGACTAAAATGGCCGACAGCGTTTTTTTATGTCCATGAAAAGTCTATATTAAAATTAAAGATTTGTAGCTTTCTAGGGCTCAAAAAAATACAATACATTTTTTTCGGTCTAATAGAACATTTATTAACCATTTAAAACCTTTTTCCAACAAGGGTCAACTAGCTTTGACATTCTTTTTATGATAATGAAAGATGACAACTTGACAAGACCTAAGAACAAAGTGTCACTGTCATTAAAACTAACCAATCTAACCTAAAATTAATATTCAAATTATTTATTTATTTTATGTGAATTAGACTTTTTAAGTTATTCTAATTACCTAATTCACAGTTATTTTGTAACCTATAGTTTAAAATGGCAAGCAGCCGATTAGAACGTATTGGAACTATACTAACAAGGTATGTATAACAAAATTGTAATACACCTACTACAAAAATAATTAAAAAGTATAAAATTTAAAAATAGAACACAAAGTTTTTTGCGCCTTTTTCTATTTTTTAGCGGGAAATATCTATAGGTGTATTTGTGATTGCAATAGGTAGTCTTAACTTGATTATACGGAATTATATTGCTTTAAACAAATAATTAACATGTCGGGTATGAAAAAATCGGTAAGGGCCTCTAAGTTTGCATCTGGTGAAGTAAGCGATTTCATAAGTGAATCTCAATTTATCAAAGAATCTCCCAAATCAAAGAAGAATCCTAAACGGCTGAGAACAGATATTAACGAAGAAGAGGATATTGCAAAACTAATAGGACAATATCAGAGTAATATAAAAAAAAGAAAGACTGAAACTAAAATTGAGACTTGTAAAGAATCTCGTCAAAAACTATTAGATGTGATGAGCCATCAATTGGAAGCAAGGTAAGTTTTTTCTTTTTATTGTTAATCATTTAGTACTTAAACTTTTAATTACACTTAAGTACTAAAAATGTTATATTTCTGTTACCTGATTCTAGAAAACAAGGCAATGACAACTTACTCAAATCATTGTCAGAGATTTTGACTCAACTGGAAGCTGATTACAATGCAATGAAAGACAATGAACAAAAATTGGAACACCTCACATCAGCTCTCATAAAATGCATACAACAGTCAACAGTTGCTCACAAGCAAAAATTTAAAGCATTGAAGGAAATTCACACATCGTTTAAGAAAGAGTATTATTCATTTTTATTATTTTTTTACTATTAGTTTAGAACACCATCTTAGGTCCAATCTTAACTGAACTGTTAATCATATAAAATTTAATGTATTTAAAAATGACATTAATGCATATTAAGGCAATCATTTTCTTGCATGTTGATTCTAAAAATTTATATATTTGTTACATCCTATCAGGTGTGAGGACATGGATAATGATCAGAAAGCTGAAACTGATAAACTAGCCGATGAACTAGAGGAGGACATCAAGAAATTACAACAAAAGCTGATATCTGAAACTAAACGTAGTGGCTGGGAAACATTACGAAGAACAATATTCCAAGCAATGCAGAATGACTTTTAATTATCCTAGTTTTAATTCATTTTGTTTTTAATTGATTCGATACTCATGTACTGTTATTTCATGTTAAATATAGCAAACAATAAATGATTTGGGGCTTTATTTTTTCTTGCCTTTCTATCTACCATATGAATCAACTAGGCATTCTTCAGTTCAACATTTGTCTTACATACAAAAGAAAATAGCAGTTTTGTATGGAGATCTGTATACATTCATTTAGCTCTCCATGTTTATTCAGCTTTGGTGGCAAACAGTCATAAAATGAGTTTTTGAATCTGTTCCTTTGCGTTTAGGGCTGTACGCGGCCAATATATGCAATAATGCAGTGATAGCAAGCTATGACGCCTCTCAATCTTTTGACGCTGTCAAGCGTGGCTAATAGAAGCAGAAGTTTAGATGTAGTAGAAGTGTAACTAACAGACGTACTCTGACACGTTAAATTAATGCATTATTAAGATATGTGTTGTCTCGTTCTACTGATGACGCAAAGTAAGTGACAGCATCAACCTTAGTCAAACTTAAAACTTGACTTCCTGAGTGCGGCCGTAAGATTGCCCAGCGAAACGCAAACGGTACTGTACCCTTAGCACGAACCAATATCGAATTCGTATCGAATGCGAGTACGAAATGTCAATGTCAAATATGTACTGATTTTTAGTTCTAGTTACGTACTTTGTGGCGCTGCTGTTGAAGTTTCCATACAAAACTTGACATAGACATTTCGGAGTCGCAAACGATTCGAATTCGATATTGGTTCGTGCTAGGGGTACTGAATAGTTTGTACCCAACAATATCTTACATTATGTGTAGGGAAGAGGATCAGTTTCTCGGCGTGACCGATATGTATACCCTTACTAAAATACAGCTTTCTAGTATTGTTCCTAATACTAATCGTATCTGAGCTAAGGTACGCAAAGAAGAATAGCGCAACAATATCAATTAATTTATGCTTTCAAATTTAAAAAAAGGTAAATTAATTGCGATCATGATGACTTTTTTTTATGTTGGGAAAATTCATTCGACGCTTACCTCGCGCCTGGGTGAGAGACGAGGTTATGTGCTACTTCTCCGCTCAAATCCCGCATACCCTTTCAGCCCTACCCACAAATATCCAATGGGAATCGGAGACACCACGTTAACGATCATTAATGACCTACATGCAAAATCTATTGTACTTTTTGTTTTATTGTTGCAGAGTGGAAGGTCTTCTTACGAAAGGAGGAATGAAACCTGATGACAGACCTCTGTGGTTCGATGTTTACCGAGCCTTTCCACCATTCGCTGAACCTAGAGTAGCCAAACCTAAACCTGAAATCAAGCCTATTAGACAAATATTGTATCAAGAAGACATCATTAGAGCGTAAATATCTACTTTAATAAGTAATTTATTTCAAATTCAGAAACTAATATCGAGCCCTTACCGCCAAATTATCGTAAGCGACACTTTTGTCGAAATGCGTTTTTTGTGGAAACTAATATTTTAAACCGTAACGGACCCATCTCTGTTGATATTTCCCTCCAAAAGAACACCGTTACAATATAATAGAGGGAAGAATAGAGGGAAATATCAACAGAAATGGGTCCGTTACGGTTAAAAATATTAGTTTCCACAAAAAACGCATTTCGACAAAAGTGTCGCTTACGATAATTTGGCGGTAAGGGCTCGATATACACTAGACTAAACTTGTAGGGCACAACGTCGCCTAACCCCTCGTATACATAATACATGTATGTAACGAATTTTATACAATGTTTTATTTTTTTGTTCACACTTATAAACATGTATAAAACATGAAGCAACAATACTTGTTGGATTAACAAAATATGTGAAGTGAATAGTAATTTGTACTTGTAAAGTTACTAGTTGTCTATGCAGTGTAAACGAAATAATGTTTTAAAGAGTCTCAACAAATAAACTTACAAGTTTTGTGTAAACATAATAGGTATATGACTTGTTTCGTCGTGTAAACGAGGGGACGTTGCCTAATTTATTTCAAGAACTGATGAAGTGATTGAGTATCATGCATGTCTGATGCTGAATTGATAACATAACTGTAATAAATATCAGCTATCAGATGACATGGTCCCTCGATCAGAAGTTGTCATAAACTGTTGGTCATATGGCAAACACTACGCCACGAGCCATTTTATTATAACGAAGAGTATTTCCCGTTGGACATGACGGCAGGCGCTGCGTTGCAGATTGTAACTTGATTTAAATTCCACCTTCCGTCGATCTAGAGGACGTAGGTAGGTACTCTCAAGAAAATAGAGCTTTGGCGGTGAGGTTCAATATGCTGTTGCGAAGGTTAACACGTAGTCAGTACATTTACCAAGGAAGTAAAATAATCTCTTTTCAGAGCGTATTGTCAGTAATTATTTGAGTAGCCTATGGTTTCTTTCATAGGTAAACAACATTATATTCGTTTCCTTTTCCAATGCAATAATGCTTCCTGAATGCTCCGGTGGTTGGCACGATACGATATTGCAGTATTTTAGAAGAAATATTTACCAACTCGAAAAAGTCACAGCACAGTGTTCGTGGCAATAGTCAGTCTGATAAACAGTATCAGTTTTAAATAAATATATGCATTTAGGGATTGCAATCCCGCAAAACGGGATCACGCATTCCCGCGGGATGTCGCTACTTTTATTAATCTGCTGGATCCCGCACCTAGAAAGCGCTGAAATTAAAACTTTCACGTAAATTGCGTAGCATGAGCGCGATGTTGCTTTTCAGAGGAGAGTACTTGACGCTCGCCTATAAATATTTATATTGACGGTTCACTCTAATAGCGTAGAAGCCGAGAGGCCGTTGTCAGCATCTTGATATATTTGCAGTTCACTCAGAAGCAGACTCGGTTATGATACAATAAATGCTATTTGCTTTTTAAGAGCGTATTTTCAAAAGCTACCACCATAGGTAGTAATAGCATCTAAGAGAAAGTTGTGATTTGATTTGATATGAATAACACGAATTAAAAATATAAAACTGTTGTCGGCAGTTAGGGTAAAATTAAACAAAGCTATTAAACTATGCCAAACATTTAAAGATGTATCTATGAATACCGATTACTTATACTTAATAAATAGTATGTAAATAAATAATTTCTGTTACTTAATGTAAGAAGTGTTTAATAAAAGTTGATTTTTACACAAAAATCAATTTGATTTTACAACATAATTTCAAAGATGCATGTCCCGCGCCGAGTTGGGTAATCCCGGGAGATTGAATGGGCTGCGGGATTGCAATCCCTACATGCATTGCTCTGGTCGTTGGAGATGGGGAGGAAATGTGAAATGTATGTCGAATGAGAGAATTATGAAATTGATATACGACGCGAAAGTGGAAGGATGAAAAAAAACAATCATGATAAGTTTCTTCCAGAATTAATTGAGTCAGACGCCGCCAGCTAGCGTATTATGTAATGCACCGAGTTTTAAAAATATTTAAAAATGCAAGAAACGAAAGCATTCGTTTTCTTTATTTGTTCGCACTTGGTCGGATTCTCAAAAGGACGGGTCCAGTACAGTTACGTGGAGAAATACATATTAATAATACATTCAGTTCAGTTGTGTATGTTAGATTAATTCGTATTTTTTATGTTTATTTATTTATTTGACTGGAAAAACCTTAGACCATTAAACCACAGGACTAGCCTCGCAAGATCTTTCCCCTCTGTCAAGGTATAAGATCAAATGATTCAGTGCGTTCATAAAAACTACTTACAATCGATAGATTTCCACAGTGTGAGAATCGTTATCGTAGTGACAACAGCCCGTGTCTCCTCGCAAAAAAATGTGTGCGTGTACTAGTGTACACACGTAAGAAGTGAAACTTCTTTATGGCCTTATTTTTCGAAAAATGATCTACATGCAACTTTCCAAAAATTGGTTAAATAAAGTTAAATTAGATAAAGTTTAAACAAAAGGATTTTATTATCATAGACATGAATACAAATTACTGCCTATGAAACTGTTATGATTACACGGCTCAGTAATCTAAGGCACATGTTCCACCTCCGACGATGAACGATAAGCGAGTAGAAACTAGAAACGAATTGGCAGTCCTGAGTTAAAATGCACGCGCACGGCTTTTGACAGCCAAGCCAGCTTAACCGAGCGAGTATAGCTGAGCGAGTATCGCTGAGCTAGTATCGCTGAGCTAGTATCGCTGAGCGAGTATCGCTGAGCGAGAATCGCTGAGCGAGTATCGCTGAGCGAATATCGCTATGCGAGTTTGGCTGAGCGAGTCTTATCTTTAATAACTATTGTCACTCAGCTACAAACGAGTAGAGAGAGTTCTCGCCGGCGACAGTGTGATCATTCAGCTATCAACTATTAATATAAAAAAAGATGGCGCGTAACGGAAAAATGTGACGCGTAACCGAAAAATGTGACGGTAAATTTTTTTCCAACGCCGATAAAGAAGTTTCACTTCAAAAAATGCTAACCTGTGCCGTTTTAACGTGCAAAAAAAGATCAAACACCTCTAATTTACAAAAAACGGGATATCATTTCACATGTAAGTGTTTTTTCTATATTTCAGTGCTTTTTTTTCAATTAAAAATGAATTTTACAATAACCGAGAATAGAAACTTGCAAGTAATCGAGTGAGATCCAATTCGAATATGTGCCGAAACATATTCATATGATTTAATACCTTATAATTGAAAAATAGAGTCCATTTTAGTGACCTTAACTATTTAAGTGCGAATATAGTCTATTGCATGCCCACGAGACTTGCAAACGCACTCCCCACGAGACTACATTTTTTAATTGTATCAAGTTTCGACCTTAGGCCCCGCATTTAAGATTCGAAATAAAAATTATATAAGTTGAATTGAGTGTAGCGAGACTATTTATTTACGACTTTTAAGTGATGGGAAATAAAATTGAAAAAATAATATCGATATAATGGTTTTTTGTTTTTTTGAATGCATAAAACACATTTACTCAAAATTAATACAGATTTCATACAAAATTAAATTTTATACTGATTCATATATATTATTGTATTTATTAAAAAAAACTTAAGCAGAAAATGCTTGGGATTTTCGTTTTTCTTGTTAATTGTATTCTGGCGAAATGAGAATCCGTCCTTTTGTGAATCCGACCAAATGCGAACAAATGGTTCTCTCCTTACGTTAGGTACCTAGTTAAAGATATGAAAATAATCAAATAAAAATATAAGTACCCCAATACTTTTTAAAGTTAAAATCATATTTGTCTTGTTATAGAAAATTTCATTCGAAAGGATTGGGCATGGGTGCTGTTAATATATTAAACCCGAACAGCGAACCACAAATCAAAAGATTGATTAAGCAATACGAAAAACTAAAATCTGAAGGCGTCCCAGATGAAGAATTGGTTGAAAAGTCAGCAGCAATGGTGGCGAGTGAACCGCGTCCAGAAAACAAGAGCTCTAAAATCCCAAAAACGGACAACCCGGAATCGGTAACAAGCAAAGTTTTAGCGGAAGCAGATTTGAAAAATATATTTAGCGAAAAGTGATTGGAATGTATATCTAAGTTATTAGTTGTTTTGTAAATTTTAGTTATTTCATTAATACTAATATGTAATAATAGCGATTCTTAGTACCTACTGAAATGTGTTTGCCTTTATTGCAATGCAGCTCAACCTATACCGGCGGTATTCCATTACTAAACTACATGACCCTCATTAATAAACGATGAATAAGCTTAGATTACTTACGTTGTAATTTGTTTATATCACTCAAATGTTTTTTGTATTGTAATTTAAATCAATGAACAGAGACAAAACATGGAGTATCTGATTCAACCTTATTCGTTTATTAATAAGGGGTTGTGTTGTACTCCCTGTAACTGCAGGCTTAACTTAGAATGAAAATTACATGGTTAGGGAATTTAGGGAGAATAGGCCGTATCCGCACCTCACCACGAGGTTCAGAGCGGATCGGTTTCTGACGACTGCAGATGCATACGGGACCTAACTTGCTTTCCAAAACATTAAGGGACCCTGGCGTCATTTTTAAAACATCTTTATTATTAACACGCCTACACAATTTCTTATAAAATATTTGGTGGGTTCTACGAAAACATTGAGTCATATATCCTGACTAGGACATGAAGTGACTGCAATAATCAGTAGGTACAGATCACAGAAAGCTACTCCAGTTATCAAAGCTGTCAAATTATTGTACCTGAGCTTTATAATACTTGATATATGATTCACAATCGATTGAGTTTGTGGTGACTTGAGGTGCGGCTGCCTGTACAACTGCGTATTAGTAATACTATCTTATCTAACTGATAAGAGCTTTGTGTGAATAACACACCTTTAGAGGTGTTTAGTGTTCCATTGAGCCGGGTTAAAGAGGTGCTTATTAAGTGATAATTTATTTGGTGTGTGAATTTTATCAAAATGGCAGCAAAACGATCGTTTCTGTTTTATTTGGCAGCAATCTTGGGTGAGTTTTAGATTAATTGTTAAATATTGCAAATGTGAGTAATAAGTAGCTGTTCTTCGTCATGGGCGAATAATGTTGATAAGAGTGTTACCTATTTATAAAATCAACCACATACTGCCAAAACCTTATTGGTGGATATAGTTTCAAATTGGCTACGCTCTTATTACGTAGCAATAAAATTCATAATGGTAGTAAAGTGTCCATCGTAGTAGGTATCTGGTTGTAATGAATCGTACTGATATGTATTTTTTATAACGTAAGTAGACGTACTTAAGTAAGTGTTTGGTTCTAAAAACGAGGTCGATTCCTTAGTTTAAATTTGTTTTTGTTCGTAACAGATAAACTACTTAATATAAAAAGTTAAAAAAACTATATAGGTAATATAGGTAATGGTAATAATACATCTTGTATCAACAAATGGACCGCCATTGTCGCAGATGGACTGGAAATATTCCAAATTAACAAGTTTTGAATTATGTACATTGTATCTGCATTAACTCCATCTTCTTCATCTCTATTTATATGCATAAGATAGGTAGTTACCAATTTACGTGAACGTAAAAAGTTAAAAACCACTGTGCAGGATGCAAGTCTTCTTATTATCATCATCTCCCTCCCCCCTCTTGGTGTAATGAAAACCGGAATCCTTTCTTTTAAACCTGCCTTATCAATAAATTATTCTTATTTAATCCTTTAAGTTCTTATTTATTAGTAAATAGGTACAAACAAAAGATTACAATATTGTTAGTGGGTTTGCAAGTATTTCTTCATACTATACAACGAATGCTAGATGTGTAGGGAATTAGGTATTTTCAAACACTAAATCACGGTTCATAAAGAGTTTTGCATGTTCATTGCACCATTCGTTATCCTTGACTTTATTTAGGTATAAGAATGATTAGGCAATATCAATAGTTTTTCTTTTCAGTTATCCTCAGTACGCTTACACATGAGGCTGAAGCTCGACGAAAAATCCTGCGAGGAAGACGGGTGATGACTCGCACTTATTATCGTAAGTTTTGTAATACTATAATGTAAAGAAAGTGGTAAACAATAGTTATGTTTGCCTCTGATGATGGTAAGCGGCCACCGCAATTTCTAAACGTATCCTTCCTATACCTAGCCGCGAGTCATTGTACGCTCGCGTATTGTCCACCGTGCGTGAGTGATCCTATTTTTTCTCTTCGCGGAATACGTTCACTCACGTGGAGCAATAGCAAATACTCCTACTACTCCTAACAATAAAGCATAGAGAAAAGAATAATATTGTTGGTCCAAAAAAATGTGTAGAATAATCCCCTGGTGGGCGCTCAAATTCAAGTCGAGACATTGCTCTGCTGTAGATCTTCTAAATTGAAGGTGTGGGGTGTGGGTATAATTTCACCTGTCATTTATTGGACATTTGCGGCCCCGACCATCCCGCTATCAGCAACGAAAACAAAATTAACTAGTAGCCAAAATTATCAGCGCTGCAGCAGCCCTGTTGTTGCTGTAGTATTAAGCTGAGGCAGGGACCTAGTTGGCCTGTCTTTCTGTGTTCTGTTTTTGTATATGTGTTACAACGTCATTTAATTTTTTTCTTTCTTTTCTTTGTAGTAAAGTCTTTAGCGACAGGGCCTGGGCTATAGACAAAACCCAGCCCCAAAATAAAAAACCGTGACCGCATGTGTGATTAAATTCTCGTCTTCTCATCTGGTAACCTTACTGACTGTAGGAATACACCATTGATATGTGTTTTATATGACTGCAGTTTAAAGCCTCGATGACAGAGGGCGACTAGCAGCTTGTCTCTCTCCGTGCTCGCCCCGTGTCATCGAGGCTTCATGTATGGTGAAGGTTTTCTTTCTCATGGGGGAATTCTATTTCGAGTGGAAAATTAGCCGTGCCTATAAAGGTATCTTCTGCCTTGGCAAACACTAACTCAATGCTTTTATTTTTAGGCGGTCTTGCGGTTCCAGCTTGGGCAATAAGCTTGATAGCTGGAATAGGAATGCTGCTAATAGGAGGAGTCCTATATGTGGTTATGAGAAAAGTAGTCTTATCATCGGAGACTGGCTCATTAAATACATACCAACCAGCGATGCAAAACGATCAAGTGTAATTTTAAAACGATAAAGCAAGAATATTCTTATACTTAGTTTTAAACCATCGATTAATTTTAAGTAAACGTTATTTTAGTAACTGATTTTGCTGAAACTGTGTTTTTTTGTAAGTTTTGTCTTATTATTTTTCATAATTAAATAAGTAGGCACCACGAAAATTTATTTTATTTGTAGACCCTCGGGTAAACGCCCCTGACTGGATGAATTGAGGGTTTTTGAGGCTACAGGGTTTACCCCTGCACGCATGCATGTTAGCGAGAAGGAGAACGATCGCTTCGTAATAAAGCATTAGCCCGCCTGCCCTGAAATTTTGTAGAATTTATAGTTCATATTTCTGCCACCACCCGCGTTGCCTTCGGTAAGTAGTATCCGTAAAGTAAGCTGTTTATGAGTACAAGTAGATGAAGTTAGTTGAATATTGTACAAATATTCTTCGAGGCATTGATCATTTCAAATTAGCCCGTTTTTATTAAGACAGCTTAGCAATCGCAGCGCCTCACTTATTTTGTCCATATTTCTGGGACACTATTTTCTACAGCGATCGATGGTTCTCCTTCTCTCTGACCTCCATGGGTAAAGGCAGCAATCTAAGTTTATTTTGGTACCTATAGAAGTAAGGGAAATGGCCCGTCTCTACTACTTTAGGGCCTGCGCTGCGTTAAGCGGGAGCACGGAGCGGACGTTTGCGCCACGTGTTTGTTTCATGTTATTTCATAGAGCAGTGCTGCTTGAAGCGGGTCTACCATGGCACACGCAACGCGACGCACGCTCTTAATAATAACGTAGGAATATTACCTACTATATTGATTGGAATGTGTGTTTTCAGTACCATGTTTTTAACTCCTTTCCCCAGAGGTAATTTCGCAATGTTGTGCGAAGATTCAGTCGAATATGTACGTAGGTTGTCACGTTAGTAGGTTGAGAATGTAATGAGGGCTACCGTTTTTCTCAAAAGGTGGCGTCACTGTTTTTAGATTTCTAAGTGTTAATACGCACAAAAACAGTTAACATTTTAATACAAAAGAATCGTATCGTAAACATAATCGGTCATGCCAGCGCCAGCGTTGCGCAGGTCCGTTTTGTTCGGAAAAAAACATAGGGCATAATATTTTTTCTTAGCTCCGCTTTCAAATAACTGGCATTCATTGATACGTAACTCACATTTGCCATAACTAATCTGAGTTGTTATTAAATATTCACATCAAGTCAACCCACAGGCAATAACATTCGACATTTCGGAGACCTCACAAGCGCCTCGAGTACACGATAACTCTCATTGAGTACCTATATTTCATACTCTATACCGCTGTCACAGAGCTGATGATGAGAAACTTGCGCTCACGGTCGACTTTGTTCGCGTTCGTCCTTTCATTTCTCGGGCCCTACGGCAAATAACGTGTATTTTCAAAATCGGTTCAGTAGATCCAGACCAGAGATTACCCTCTAACAATATCCTCATAACTATTATTAGTATAAATTTATACTCGTATCGATTCTGTCATGATTCTCATAACCTAAACTTACATTTGACACCAGTGTATCCTTGTCATACTTTATACAAAATAAAAAGGAGAGATGTTTAATTTAGTTTTAAGTTTAGATAATCATGTCAGAATCGACACCTTTATCTAGCCTAGCTTGGATAAACTTCACACAATAATGCAAACAAAATGCACGTAAATTAGGTGTCATAATTCATTTATTCGTAGTTTTAATAATATTATAATCAAGATGGATAGACAAACATTCTTTCACTAAAAATAAAAATGTCGCTTACAAAGAGTTTGATTGGGAGAATGAAACTTGGGCATTGGAAGTAGCCATGCGAATGGTACTTATGCCATTATTAAAACTCTCTGCGATGGTACTTGTCCGGATCGAAGTATGAGGTCACGACGACACGGTTACTGAATTTACGACCAGTCAATGTCTGTTGGGCTTTCTGGCAATCGGCGATGCTGTTGAATTCCACAAATACCTGCAAACAAATTAATAACACAATAAGAAAATATATGTATCTAATTTCAAACTTAAGGTATTAAATATATATTTAAAAGATCATTTTACCTTTCCACAGCCAGGTACTTCGACGCCTTCAATAGGCCTTGGTATCTCTATACTTCGCACACAACCATACTTATTGCATTCCTCTCTGTGAAATAAAAGAAGAAAAATTAAGCACTCAATTCAACAGCGAATTTTAAGAGATTATTAATTATGATCAATTAGAGCATAGACACAAACACCCTTACTAATAAAGTCGGTATAAGCTTAGACTAGTTTCACCGTGTTTTGGTCATGTCACTAAAATGCTATTTGTAATTAATTCAATGAACAGAGTAACTAATCCAAGCTCGTATTTCGTTTTCTTAATAAGGGGGAGAGAAATGACTGAGTGTTCCATATCGAGCTGAAAACTAAACTGGGCACATAAGGTTAAAGCCGGCTACTCACATTCCTTCCGCAGGGGAAATCTAGTGTAAGAGGAGGCAGAGGCGGCTCAAGCCCATGTAGCCATAGAGGTATAAGAATAGAGTGAGGCAGGCGGCTCTAAAAGTGTCCGTCTAGTAGAAAGAGAAAGAAGATGAGAGATCGCTAGCTATCTCTCTCTCTCTTGTGACTCATAGCATCCAATGGCATCACATTGAAATAGTTAGATGCTTACGGTTGCCAATGCGCATGCGCGATTAGAGAGAGAAAGCTAGCGGTCTGTCATCATCTTTCTCTTTCTATTAGAGGGTCACTTCCACTTGTAATAGAGTCTATATCTCCCCTACTCAGTGATGCCATCTTAGCAACTTTATAGCTAGATCTAGCTATTATTTGGTATCACACAGCTACAATTTAATAAAAGGACACCCGGCATTTTGTGCCAAAGTTGTATACTTTTTTAATTTTTTTATCTGTGTTTCATAATTGGGTAACGTAGTCTGGCAATATTTGTCATCAGCAGCTAGCTGACAATGTCAAATACGTAGGTTTGTCATCAAAAGGGTTTCTATATCAAAAAATATTAATCATTAAATAACTTCTTTCCACGATTCACTAAAAATAAGGCAAAAGTAGTTTTATGTAGCAAATAATTTTGGCTTTATTTTGAGACCAAATTCAACTGTATACAAGTTTAGCATTTTTTCTATGAAAAGTGCCGGGTCTCCTTTGTAGCTAAACTATTTAGCTATTTTTTCTAGCAACTTTTCATTTCATGAGAGATTCATAGAGTAGGGTACCAAATCTTTAACGAAAAAATAAAAACTGAACGCGACTCTATATAGATTAAAGATACTATGGTATTGGTCGTAGGTCGGCCTTACCCGGGAATTCCCCATTTAATGTTGCGCTACGAAAGAATACACTAGACAGAACGTGGGTACTTATTTACTAAACCAAAGTGTACTTACTACTCGTATTCTACCCAGTGTTTTTTTATCCATATAAACTAATGCTCGCTGTTTTAATGTAAAAATGGATTAACCCTTGAGAAAAAAACATACGTACAGAAATACAGACAGGCTGGTTAAAAGCAGCAAGTGGAGATTCAAGCAAAGCGTTTTGTACTAATTGTTCGACGGAAATTCTTCTTAAACTATTTGACATAAAGAAACATACTAGGACAAAAAACTTAGACAGAAGTAGAGTTCCGAACAGGTACGTGAATTTAAAACTCGTTTTGTTGAAAGCAGACTTTTTCGACGGGAAAAACTAGTATGATAATTTTAGTTTACAAGGTTTTTTTTTTAAAATAAAGGTCTCAAACTCATTTTTATACGTCAGTGTTGATATACCTTCTTGTAATATAATATCTTTTTTACCTACTGGAAGATTTAGCTACTTCTAGCAACTTTTTGGGGTAATAAAAACTGACAATCTAGCAACATTTTGTAAGATGTCTAGCAACTGGGCAATGCTAGTAGTTGGCAACACTGCCCCTACTCTATTCTTATACCTCTAGGCCCACTGTACAAGAGTAAAATGTATGTTTAGAGAGGAAGGAGGGTCAAGAATAACAAAACAAAATAAATAACACGACGAATAACTAGTTAAGCGAAGACAGTTTGTAACTATGTTTGGTTTTGAAAATGATCTTTCCTTGTGTGCTACTGTGACTGGCAATGTGAGGTAAAGTCCAATGTGCTATGGATAGATTTGGGAACACTGAAATTAACATATTCGAAAAAAATAATTTAAAATATCGACACATAGATAGATTTCATTAAAGAGCTCTATCTTCTCATTTTAACTTCATTTCTATTCTAAACAGTCGAATTCACATATCCGCAATATGATCGCCGGCATGTTTTCAAACCATTGAAACAGGTGTCGCCGGTACCGGCACGAGCGATGCGACACTCACTACACTAATTATCATGTTTAATTATGTAATCTTCGAAGTTGTAAAAGCCTCTCGTGGAGCGCCTTGCTTTGCTGTAATACGACAAATATAAGAAGAGCTCCAGATGCTATACAAAATGTATACCAAGCGGAGCTACAAAGTACAAATGCTCGTATTCATCACACAAACATCTGCCCACACCGGGAATTGAACCTGGGGCCTCCCGAGTCGGCGACACCATGAAACCCGGCGTAATAACCACTCGGTCAAGGAGGTCATCATGTCAATAAGTAGCTGAGGTATTGCGTGCACCATCGCTTTCCCTCTTTATTATTTTTCATTTAAGAGTTGTCAATACCATGTGCTCATTATCATTGTAAGCCTATTAAGGTCCCCACTACTGTGGCACAGACCTTCCCTATGGATGGAATAGGGCGATTGGGCCATGACCCATCACCCCAGCCCGAGCGGATTGGTGGGTGCTTACGACTGATGATGCAGCCGAGACCAACCAACGAGAGGCTTAACGTGCCTCCCGAAGCACGGAGGAGCTCGAGATAGAAAATTTTTGGTCACCCATCCATTGAGCGACCAGTCCGAAAGGGACTTAACTATCACAGCCGAACGCGATAACCACTTGCGTAATACCATGCTTAATCAGACTATTCTCTTTGTCTGTGGTTATGACGATACTGACTGATGTCCGCATATTCCTCGTCGCGCAGCTCGTCGGGCGTGACCATGTTGAGAGCAGGCAGAGCTCCTCGGTAGAGCTGCACTCGCACCGCGCCTGTCATCGCTACTGATGATGGTGATGTCGTGTGGTTATGATGATACTGACTTGATGTCCTCATACTCCTCTTCGTCGCGCAGCTCGTCGCGCAGCTCGTCGCGCGTGGCCATGTTGAGCAGGCAGAGCACCTCGGTACAGCTGCACTGGCACCACGCCTGTGTATGCTACTGATGATGGTGATGGCGTGTGGTTATGATGATACCGACTTGATGTCCTCGAGGATGTCCTCATACTCCTCTTCGTCGCGCAGCTCGTCCGGCGTGACCATGTTGAGCAGGCAGAGCACCTCGGTACAGCTGCACTCGCACCGCGCCTGTCATCGCTACTGATGATGGTGATGTCGTGTGGTTATGATGATACTGACTTGATGTCCTCGAGGATGTCCTCATACTCCTCTTCGTCGCGCAGCTCGTCGGGCGTGGCCATGTTGAGCAGGCAAAGCACCTCGGTACAGCTGCACTGGCACCACGCCTGTGTACGCTACTGATGATGGTGATGGCGTGTGGTTATGATGATACTGACTTGATGTCCTCGAGGATGTCCTCATACTCCTCTTCGTCACGCAGCTCGTCCGGCGTGACCATGTTGAGCAGGCAGAGCACCTCGGTACAGCTGCACTCGCACCGCGCCTGTCATCGCTACTGATGATGGTGATGTCGTGTGGTTATGATGATACTGACTTGATGTCCTCGAGGATGTCCTCATACTCCTCTTCGTCGCGCAGCTCGTCGGGCGTGGCCATGTTGAGCAGGCAAAGCACCTCGGTACAGCTGCACTGGCACCACGCCTGTGTACGCTACTGATGATGGTGATGGCGTGTGGTTATGATGATACTGACTTGATGTCCTCGAGGATGTCCTCATACTCCTCTTCGTCACGCAGCTCGTCCGGCGTGACCATGTTGAGCAGGCAGAGCACCTCGGTGGGCGGCCCCGCCCCAGCCAGCGTCAGCCCCGCTACTTGCAGCTGCACCGGCGCTGCGCCTGTCATCGCTACGCACAATACTCCAGTTTAAATCAATTACTTTATTTGCGATGCCGGCACTTGGCTATTCGTCTTTGTTATTTGTAAACTTGACATCAGTCTGTCCTTTCAATTCCTTATAAAAAATGTTATGGACAGACTGAGGAAAATGTACATGTCTGATAAGATTCCAGTAGCAGTACAGGTCAGTGCATTTGTCAAAAATGTTTTGTTTGTCAATAAAGTAAACGTTTTGGGGATCAAACTAACCACACTTGTTGATTATTAGTCAAACGTGACAAAAAGGCAAATACGAATGGCCAAGTGAAGTACCGCCATAAAAGAAATAATATCTAAAGGCTCCCAGGAACCAGCACTCTTTGCTGTCCGGACGAATGCTCTCGAAAGTGCTTTGGCACCACGTGTGGCTAGATTTTTGTCATAAAAATAGATATAGAATAGCAAGTCTATGGTTTTCGCGATTGGCCTGTTTGTGGCCAAGTATGGTATGTTAATTTGACAAAAAATGGCTTTATTCACATATTTAACAAACAGGACAAATACAAACACGCGATACCACACCGTTGTCGGTTCTTCAGCGCACATCAAGGAGACAGCACAGACTAGTAAAAGATGCAATTTTAGTATAGCTCCTTTTTTTGGCTTGCACAGCTTGTGAATTTGCCACTTCTAGTAGGAAAGGTAGAGAAACCAATTTTAGGAATCATAATCATTGGGAAGAATTGTAATTTTCGTACAATCAGGGTAAAGGAATGTTAAATAATAAATTAACCAATTAATTAATTATATAAATAAAAAGTAACTATGGTCCTCTACGCATTATCCAACTTGCTGGATCTAGCGTGTGAGACAGCACTATACAAGTAAAAGAGAAGGAGATCTTTTAAGATGTCTATGCATATCTTTAAAGTGTATCCATCCATCAGGAACCATAGTGCGCAGAGGTATGGTGTCGAAATCTTTAAACTAAATTACACAGTAACAAAAACGCATATGTGAGCAACAATAGGTTGGAACGAAGTTGAAATAAACATAAATAAGGTACACATCCAAACAACATTTTGTTACTTTTCATGCCTCAGTTATATAATATCAGCAGGGAATTATGTATTAATATCTCGCTGCAATATTTTTGTGTTATCTTTGTTAATCTGTGGTTATTCTTCTTAGACGCATGTGTGGATGGTCGTATTGTCGTGTATTTGTATTGCCGTTTTCGTCATTGTTTTGCCAAACTTTGTACACAAAAACGCAAGCCGAATGGCCCAGTGAAGTGAGGCTATTAGATATAAAAATGCTGTTAAACACATAAATAAATTTAGGAAAAAGATTTCCTTATAAGCATGGTCCACTCTTGTTACATAAAACTATCTATTAGCATCTGCAATCAAGAGCTACTGAGAGGAGCTCAGAATTTTCTTGGTTTTACTTATAAATTTACACCTAGCTTAGCTAAATGCTTTACAAATTCATACCTAGTGTAGAATTCTTGGCTCCAATACTGGCTCGTTGTACAATTAGCTTCTTATCTCCAAGCTGCATTCCATTCAGTCCAGCAATAGCCTGTTAGTAAATTTTTTTTATGTATTAGTTTCTCCTTCATAAAATGTAATAATAGTTTTACAAATACTTCAAATCAAGTTCTTGTTACAGTGTTTTATTAAATCTTATAATTAATTGTCTTTAGAAATAAAAATTAAGCATTTTAATGCTTGAATAATAAAATTGATGTAACAAATAGAATCTTAAGTTTTTTGTATATTTAAGCATTTTTACCTGATCAGTCATAGAAATATCAACATATTCAGCAAAGGCATAACCCTTGCTAAGTCCAGTTGAAGAATCTTTCACCAAATTGAAAGCACGTAGCTGTCCAAAGGACATGAGGAGCTCCTTTACCTGTATATTTCAGCCATAGTTAGTATAAGTCATATATAATTTTAACAACAGGATAAAAATACATTCATATAATTTTACACAAAACTCATTATAATCTTACATCCATCATTGTTAATTTTGATTGTTCCCATAAGATATTTGCTAGATATATTCAGCAAACAGAAATGAATGTTATCTGACCTGTCTAGTTGCATATTAGAACCAGATGTGTATGGAGGAGACTTGCCTTGGAGTGCCGACGTCTCATTCAAGTACAAGACGTATAGGTGAGAATGAGAGACAACAGTGACACGCGGGCCGTGAATGTGCCAAATCTAAGCTAGGGAGGGGCAGAAAGCAAACTTTATCAGTGAGTTGTTTAAGTGAATATCGAGCGTGAAGCGGGCACGCTCGTCCCCGCTACGGGTACCTGTAAATACCTGAAACGGATCAAAATATAACGCGGCTCACTGCTGACGCCACCATAGCTGTGTCAACTGTTGAATCTCGCCTGTAATTGTCTCCTAGAGCTACCTAATGGGAACGCCTACTCCTATTATGGACTTTAGTATCGCCTTTGTACATTTATCAAATGTTAAGCAATCTTCTAATACTTTAAAAAAAAAATTTTTGCTTTTATGTGTGCAAAGGCGAACTTTAATATTGTTAATTTATACGTGAGTATAATGTGTAGAAAAAATACGATGTTACTTGTGGTTACATAAAACAATGTGGAAGTCTGGGTACTGACCTGGAAAACATAATTTTGCAAAATCAAAACCAGTTTCACAAATAGATGACCGTCTCATAAAACAAAAAGAGGTATGGACACTTTTTTTATAATGACCAAATGTTTTGTATTAATGATAATGTTCATTAGTTTGAACATGGGTGCATTCCATTATCCAGTTTTCAGTCATAATAATTATTGATTGAATATAATCTTTCAACAGTATTGAAGAATATATTTGAAACCTTTTCTTTCTTGATTCTTTATGTTAATTTTATATATGGCAAGTCAACCTTTTATAAGTCTCATATAGGCCGCAGATGAAATATTTAAAACAATATAACTGAATACTGCTTCTAATGGTAGTATAATGTTAACAAATTGGGGCAGTAATATATTTAATTTTAACAGACTTTTGAAGATGAAAGTTCAGGGGATGATTATATTTTGTCTATATGAATACATCAATTTCTAAAATACTTGATAAAATTTATTCTTAGAAATGATGTTTCACAGTGTTTATAAACAAATAAAGCAGAACATAAAAGGAGTCTTACTTGATCTTCATTGAGATAATTAGGCAGGCCTCCTATAAATATCTTATGTGGAGAATCGGGAACAACAGTGCTAATCACACCAGCTGGAACAAAATTTTACATGAATCTTTTTACCTATAAACAAAGATATACGAGTGTGCAAAAGACAACCCACCTACACTTCTGTATATTCAGAATTAACAAATTTTAAGTACTTACCAGGTACATTTATTGCTGGATTTTCAGTTCCAGGCATTGGCTGATAATCATGGGGCCGTCGAATCTTCAAACTTTGCCCTTTAAAGTTAATGCCATCAAAAGCCATAGCTTGTGTTGTTTCATCTATAGACCTAAATTCAAGGAATGCAAAGTTTTTGTCCAAGTTGATCTGACACGCCAAGACAGGATTTCCAGCTGCCTGTGCCAAGCCAGAAAGATGCATCTGTTGATTGAAGAACTCCATAGTCTCTTCTTCAGTCACTCCAAATGGTATGTTTCCAACATATAAACGTCTCGCTTGTCGAGTGATGGTAGAACCCACAACTGGTACAGCCGCTTGAGGTGTATCAGCAACAATATTGGCTGGAATCTGCCCAGCTGCTTGCATAGCTTTGTACTGTAACGGAGTAATATGTTCAAAGCCTGGCGGTGGTACATCCCAGTACAAAGAAGGCTTGCGGCGGCGTGATCTCTTTGATTGAGACTTCGATCTGCTTCTCCTTTTTTCTCTACGTTCTCTAGAGCGGGATCTGGAACGTCTTCGTTCTCGTGAGCGCGACCTGCGTCGGCGATCTGCTGCATTTCAAAAAGCAAATATTTAATAATAGACAAATCAAAATTCGTATATTAAATTATACCCACGCAACTCACCTTTATCTTCACCCATTTGTATTAATTAGATATATAAATCTTCAACAAGAGACTGAACAATACCAACGCAAAAAATACCGCATTCAATCAATCAAACAAAATGGCGTCTGTTTGATTGATTATTTAATTTTTTCCTAAATGAAGGCAAAGGATACTAAGTCCATATAGCCTTAGTGACTTATTTGCTATTTGTAAGCATGATAACATTCTCTCCTTTTCACACCCTATAGAATATGATAACGACAATATGCTGTGAAAATAACAAAAAACACGCAAAAACAGTGCATGCCATAAAAAAATAAAAAGAAACACGAATAGCCATGTAAAGTACGGGGATTGTAAATGTTCTTAAATTCGTTCTTAGTGAATATTATAAAATAAAATTGGTGTGATTTTTTGTTACAATCTAACACAAAATCCATCGGCGAAACTGAGAAATTGGAAAAGTGGACATGAGAACTTTATTGTAGTGGCGACTACCTCGCAGTAGCTTATCGAAAAAACCAACTCGAAACATTTCGCGCTACTCTCCAAGAATTATTAGAATGCGTCACACCGACATTATAATGTAAAATAAATTAAAATTAATATAACACAAATCTAGGATGTATGGACCTTGTTCCCTTTGCCTTCCCTAAAAAGGGATCTACAGAATCTTAAAAAAATAAGTGACAGTTGACACCACGACTATCACCTCCTATAAAATGTTCTGTGCCTACCACTATCAAATTCGGGCTGCTAGTAAACAGATGGAAGTGAAAGTTCAGAAATGTAATAAAAGTTAATGGAGCATATATCAAAAACGTTGAGTAAAACTTAGTATCTACCTGTCTTAACGTAATAATATTTGAATAATGGTAAGTATAACTAATGATTAATACAAAATAAAGTTTTCATAAGTTTTTCAAATTATTTACTTACTTGTTATTTTAAATTTTAGTATTATCAAGAACTTAATGGAAATATTACTAAAAAAAGGACAGTAAATTTACTGAACAAAGCACCTGATAAGGAAATTGTAAGTGATTCGAAAGAAAAACTAAGTAAAGTTTCGGTTTCTAATGGCCGAATCATCGCGCTTGTTTTTTTATCACTTCTATTGGATTTATTAGCTTTTACCATGATACTGCCGCTTCTTCCAACACTACTTGATTACTACAATAGAGAGGAAGGTCATGGAGACAGTTTATATTCATCCCTACTTCAAGCAGTTAAAAGTTTCCAAAAATTAACTGGAGCACCAGATCAATTTGCCTCGGTTTTGTTTGGAGGGGCTCTTGGCTCAATGTATAGTTTTCTACAGTTTTTGACAAGCCCTATTATTGGAAGTTTGTCTGATGCTTATGGTAGAAAACCCTTGCTCCTGTTTTGCTTGGTAAGTACTAATCTAATTAAATACTTGGAGTGTTTAATAAGAATTTAACATTATTATCACTCCATGTAGAGGTGTACACTTTTTAGATGGTTATCATATATATGATCATGCACACATAAAACAAGATACAAATCTTAATATAATATTTATCCTATGCAACAGATAACAACCATAATATTGTGATAAGCTAGTGATATATAATAAATTTATATTTCCAACACTCACACCAATCAGCCTAGCCCCAAAGTAAGCACTCTAAGGATTGTGTTATGGGATGCTAGGGTAACGGATAGAATACATATACTGTACATATATACGTATATTTATATAGAAATACATATTAAACTTCCATGACTGGAATACAAATGATCGTAATCATCACACAAACATCCGCCCCCACCGGGATTTGAACCCGGGACCTCTCGAGTCGGCTACATCATGAAACCCGGCGTACAAACCACTTGATCACAGAGGTTGTCTTACTTAATATTACTCTTAAAGTAAAAGATCAAGAGCTTGACATTGTTATCTTTTGATGTAGACACTGCTCTTGAATGATTACAATGTATATAAAAGGAATATTGCATTAATGTTGACAGACATCTAAAACTTTTTTTTAATGTTAAAGGGGTGGCAAACAATCATAGCATCTGGAGGCAAGTGGCCACCATAGCTTCTAGATGCTTGAGATACTTGTGCTGTTGCCTACATTGACCTAATCCCCTACCTATTAAAATACATACATATTTCTAATTAAAGTATCATAATACATACATTCCTGTTTCATACATTTACATTGAATTAGTAAATTCTAGTAGTCTAATTTTTAATTAGTTCATTCAAAATTCTACACTATGTCTATATAATGGTGTCGATTCTGGCATGATTCTCTAAACTTAAAAATAAATTTAACATCAGTCTCTCCTTTTTATTCTATATGAAGAGGATGCCCTATTATCAAATTTTAGTTCAGGTTTAGAGAATGCCAGATGCCAGAATCGACACCATTGACTCATTTTGTATTTTAATGTTTTTATTATTTGTTCCTTTATTTTATATAAATGATATCAATTATAATGTGTTCTTCTGTATCATGGAGCCCTGATATAGCCAGTGAATATAAACTTAACTATCTTTGTTAAAAAACAGAAATTTGTTAACAAAAAATATCCTTGGACATTTGCTTATCCTTCCTTCGATTTCACCTGCATAGCATTGAATAAGTGTAATTAGGTGTAATTACAGAACAGAACTATTATTTTCAGATTGGTATAGCAATATCCCATGCACTTTGGAGCTATGCAAGTACATTTAGTTTGTTTGTTTTGGCACGCTTCATTGGTGGATTGAGTAAAGCCAATGTTAGTCTCAGTATGGCAATTGTTACTGATGCTTCCAGCGAAAAAACCAGAGCAAAGGGAATGGTAAGAGATTATGATACTATTGAATGAATAAAAGGGTGTGGAAAAATTACTGATTACATATTTTTATCAGGTTTTAAAGTTTGTATATTTATATGCTATTATGCAAAACGCTATCACGCAAAAAAGGCTGAACTGATTTTTATGAAATTTGGTACACATTAATAGTATATTACTTAGATGGAGACATAGGTTATTCAGGACATTATCCTGAAAAAATATTAAGTTTCTTATAGGATAAACAAAAAACTAAAGCTAATTTATGCATAAATACAAAAAAAATCCTTATTGCAGAAATTCTGCTTGATATCCCACAAATGTGTCTTATTTTAACTAGAAAAACACATCCTACTAATATTGTAAATGTAAAGGTTTGTATGTTTGTTACTAGTGATGGGATTTGGATTAATTACATGCATATCTCACGCAAATTACGTTTGTTACAGCCGGAGGATCGAAAAAAAAAACAATTATTTTTATATGAGTTTAATAGAAAAGAAAAATTTACATGTAAAAATTACGTCTAAATAACCTAACGATCGGTTCGAGGTCGGAACCAGAATGCCTTCGAAATATTAATGAATTGAACAGCATAAGAATGCAGCGTCGGCAACTCGTGGCAGCTTGGCCTTGGTGTCGGTGCATCGTAGTAAGCCGTGGTTGCTACGTAAGCGATCTTCCTTACGTCCATTTACGTAATTCCTCCACCCCGAGATCAGCGACTATTTTAGGACTTTCAGAGAAAATGTCGCTGGCATGGAATTATCCTGTCTTGTCTTCTTGGCTGCTTCAGGATCTTCGTAAGTATGCTCCTTGGTATTTGAGGTTTGGTCTTCAGATTCCTTGTAGTTCCGGATTTTAAGTCTTCGACTCATAAAGACTGCGATTAAAACGATGCTGCTTAAGAGGATCACGGCGTAAAAAGGGATTGTCGTATGATATAGAGCTTCTTCCTGTGTCTGTTCCAGTTGTAGATTTGGTTCCGTCATGATTCTATTCTGGATGCTGTGTAGCCTTTGCAAATCTATAGAGACCAATTTAAGGTGTTGCGGTTTGATAGTACTTGCATTGCTGTAGGGGATCTTCATGAGTTTCAGAGGCTGGCCGTTGATCTCATCATTCTCGTTGATGATGGTGAATTCAGCTGTCTTCAGGTAGCACTTTAATGGGATCTTGATTAGGTAGCTACCTTGTAGGGATGTGGTGTCTTGGCTACTGCAGGTCGATTGTACCCTTGTTGAATGTGGGAACGATATCACGTAGTGATGATCGTCGAGCTTCTCTAGGCCTTCCTTGGCTAAGGAGACAGTAGTGAACTGGCAGGATTCGCTAAGCGTCTGCGTTGTGATGAGCTTCTGTATGCAGTCCGGTTGCGCACGGAGCTGAGTACTTATCTTTCGTTCGCAGAGGTACCAGGAACTCAACTTCGGGCATTCAGCCTCCATGTACACGAATGATTTCTCGTTAGTTGCCATGAAAGGAAAGGGTGGTATGAGGATTTGTTGGTCCTTGTTTGGGACTAGGGAAAGTCTATAAAAACTAAATTCTTCTTTAGAAACTATGGGGAATTTGAAAATTACAACTACTTGTTTCCCTAGATAATAATAACCTGATTTAATAACGTCGTAATAATCTCTATATGCTACATTTAAAATCTGCTCCTTATTGTATAGTTTCTCAAGTTTATTTAACATAGTTTTTAGTACGTTTACAGTAATCATGGAATGATGTGTGGTCCCAACTCGGATAAAAGCTAACATATTTTCTACTCTCATTAATTCGACTATAATATCTTCTACGTTTTCACTAAGTATATCTAATAATTGAGCAAATTTAGCGTATTTTATTAAGTTACTTTGTTTATAGGCATCCTTTTCTAGTAATAACTCTAAAGTAGAATTTATCTTACTTTGATTATCGACAATTTTGTTAAGGATTGCGTGATATTTAAACATCCATTCTTTATTAAGACTTGTTCGACTATTGGTTTCGGATACAATTTTGTTTTGGTTATTCTGCAGTTCTTTAATAAGTGTGTTATATCGAATAGCGTCTGAATGATCTAAATTTCCTGTAATGCTTTTCACTACTGATCCTAATCCGTCTATAAGTCCTCTTTTAACACGATTTTCAGGTTCTAAGGATTGTAGTTGGGTTAGTGCGTTATTTATTTTACTAGAAAGATAATCTATTTGAAGTTCGTACAACAAGAAGGTGTCATTAGGAAGTCGAGAACGGTAAGTCTGGAGTTGAGTCTGTACTAGGTTGATATTATTTTCAAGTTCGTCTAGTCGTATGTATTGTAGGAAAGTATGATATTGTTCAGTAAGTCTCGCTGTTCCAAGTTTATAAGGTAGTAGTCCCGGTCCCTCAGCTAGGCTTTCAAGTCTGATCTCTTGAGCTCTCGTCATTTGGCTGGTCAGTATCAGGATTAGTCTGCAACAATTTGGCTGAATGAGGAATTCGTTTCAATCGTGATTTTGCTATAGGGCCGCGTTTCTTTGATGTATATATGTGAATGGGTAAGTCTGCAAGTACTGTATCATGGGTAAAACGTGGAGCTGTTTTTTGTCGGTCGGCAGAAGGGTTCTTAATGAAAATTTGTTGTGAAGGTAAGTATTCTATTTCAGGTTCCCTGTTCTTATTGCGATTATTTATAAGAGCTGTACGATCGGCCAGAGCTGTCTCATTAATAATTTCATAAACCTTTTTTATCTGTTCTCTGTGATTTTGTACGTACTGTTGTAATAGATGTTGTGTTAAATCGATTGAAATAGGGTCTCTGGGGTTAAAATGTCCAGTAAGTAGATCGAAGGGTCGACATTTAGTGAAACTATGTATGGAACTATTATAAGCTATTATAGCATAAGGCATAAGGTTTATGATGGGTTCATCTTTTTGCTGTAATTTCAGGATGCGAAGATGCTCAAGGAGTGTAGAATGAAAACGTTCTACATTGCCATTGTCATTAGGGGAATGTGCGAGTATTCTATGGTGGTTTATTTGATATAATCTAACAAATTCAGAAAACAGTTGGTTGGTAAACTCGGTTCCGTTGTCAGTCACAATAGTCAATGGTACTCCATGGTGGGTACAGTATGTTAACAAAGCCTGTAATATGCTAACTGCTGTTCCATCTCGTAAATGATAAGCTTGACCATATTTAGTAAATACGTCAATAAACGTTATGTATTTTTCATTGTGTGCTGTGAACAGATCCATGTGTATAATTTCGAAGGGCTTAGTCGCAGGAGGTACTATATTAAACTGAGGTCTAATGGGATTACGGTCATATTTACCTTGACCACATATTGTGCATTCGTTAATGAATTTAGTTATGTGGTCCTTCATCTTAGGCCAATAATATTTCCGGGACAGAGCTAAATAACTTTCGGTTATTCCACGATGGTTGGTTTTGCCTTCGTGATACAGGCGGATGATATCTTGCTGACGCAAATATTCCTTGACATTTTCTAGCTCTGTTTTGGCAAGAACAAGATTCATAGCTGAACTTCGAAATTTATCTTGGAGTATTGGGATAATTGAATACATAGCTAGAGGTGGGTGTATCATGATAGCTGTTTTGACTTTTGGGTTGACGTAATCTTTGATAGCTTTAACAACGTCTTCTTCTAGGTTAGTTTCGGAGAGTTGTATGGAAATTCGCGTGTGTGTATCGAAAGGTTTTGTTACTACGGGTCTGCGTTTTACATCTTCTACAACTGTAAGGGATATTTGCCTATTAAATTTATTAAGTGGGTCATTTACAATAGGTATCTCTAAGATGGGATGTTCGTTACTGGTATGAGCAGTTTCAGTGGATGATCTATGTTCACGGTTCGGAGGTAAGCTTTCAGATGGATTTCCTATCAGCGAACTAAGTTCTTTGAGATTGTCTATTATTGAGTCTATCTCCTCGTTGTGAATCTCGATACGTGAAAGGGCATCAGCATTAGTGTTGGCCTTGCCTTTTTTGTAGATCACAGTAAAGTCGTATTCACTAAGTTTCAGTCGCCACCTGGTGAGACGAGAATTAGGTTCTTTCAAATTCATCATCCACTGCAGGGGTTTGTGGTCAGTCAGTATCTTAAACTTCCTTCCAAATAAATACGGGCGAAAGTATTTAGTAGCCCAGACTATAGCAAGAAGCTCCTTTTCAATAGTGCTATAATTTTGTTCACTTTCGTTCAAAGTGCGTGAGGCATAGCAAACAGGTTTGTCAGCTCCTATGGGTCCTTGGGATAGTATTGCTCCAATAGCGAAATTAGAAGCATCAGTTGTTAGAAGAAATTCTTTATTAAAATCAGGATATTGTAATATAGGGTCGTTTGTTAGGAGAGTTTTGCATTTTTCGAAGCTTTCTACGTAGTCTGGATCAAATGTTATTTTCTTACCCTTTTTAAGACATTGTGTAAGGGGCTTGGTTATTTTGGCAAAATCTGGGATAAATTTTCGGTAATAACCGAGAAGTCCTAAAAATTGCTTTATTTCCTTTGGTGTTTTTGGAATGGGGTAGCCTTTGATAGCTGTGATCTTATCGGGATTTGGTTTAATACCATCTTTGCCAATGATGTGGCCAAGGTAAGCAGTTTCGAGCTTAAGGAATTCGGACTTATCCATTTGGATTTTAAAGTTCGATTCCCTAAGTCGCTGGAAGACTTTTTCCAGGTTGAGGATGTGCTCCTGGAGCGAGGTGCTGAAGACCACGATGTCATCGAGATACACTAGGCATATCTCGTTTTGGAGCCCTCTCAACACGTTATCCATTACGCGTTGGAAGGTCGAGGGTGAATTCTTAAGGCCCATGGGCATACGAAGAAATTCGTAATGTCCATGTTCCACGTTAAATCCGGTTTTTGGGATGTCCTGGGGGTGCATTTCTACCTGATAGAAGCCACTTGCCAAATCTAGGGTACTAAAATACTGACACTTCCCTAATTTGTCAAGTACGTCATTAATGTTTGGTATTGGGTACTTATCGTCTATAGTTTTTTCATTGACTT